AAATTCAGCCTTGACAAAACTTTAAGGTATTCAGGTCAAACAAGCAACAACCTACCACCAGAGCTAGCATTCACTGCCACGTCAGGATACACCAAACCAAAAGAAAGGGATTTACTGTCTTTGTGAGCATCTTTGTAACAGCGGGCAATTTCCCTTTTACGTGTTTACAGAAGTTGCATTGATTTCATAAATGAAAATCTTTCCTCTTGAAGGCTGTTAGCACCTTTCATGACCAGTAAATATACTTTATGTATCTGAAGAGAACTAATGCATTTTGATTTTAAATATGTGTCAACTTATATAAATACAAACAATTTAAAATAATCATTTATCATCTTGCATGACAATATAAATTTACAAAGTGCAATTAAACTGGTAGCCTATTTTCTTACTGTATCATGTGTAAGATCTGCGGGATCCAGAGACATCTTTGCAACTCCTCTTGTTGAGTCTTTTCCCACCAAAGCATTGTATGGAGCTCCTTTTCCATAAAATTCTGTCAGATTAAAAAAAAAATAAATCCAGTGATGATCTGACAATGTACAGGGTATGTTCAGCCTCTGCCCTTCACCAGACTGTGAACTGAATGACAGTGAACTGAAAGCAACAACTCAAGCCTAGGACTTCTTTCCAGAACTGACTTTGGATTTCCCACTTTTTGGGGTTATACAGCTGTTGAACTTCCTATACTGCATTCTTAAAATTTACCTATTATTTCCGGAGTTGTGCTTTACATTCTCATGAGATGTTTGTAGACCCCAGAATTTGCAAGCTTTGTGTCATTTAGGATTTGAAGATTGCCCAACCCAATGTGTATGCCCAGACAACGTTAGTACAAACACAGTAACAAGCCATTCATTTACTTATGATAAACGAATCATAAGGCAAGTGTCTAAAACCCTCATGGTCCCTTCAAACTTTTTATAGCAAATCTGGATTAAGTAGCAGGAGCTCCAATTAAAACATTTGTAGTTCTCAGGGAAGGCAAAACCAGCAAGGGGTGTGAACACCAGCACAGAAGGAAAAGATGCAGCTGCAGCAGTGTTGATATTGTACAGTGGGTATGTCCACATTAGGTTTGATCTGCTCAGCTCATATAACCAGGGCAGTAAAATGCTGTAGCTTCCATGTGGCTTGACCCCACGTCTGGCAAGGACTCAGGTATCTGGGATCTTCCAGTTTTCATCAGCAGTGCCCAAGCTAGCTGACAGTGCTGGCTTGTCTGTCTACATGTTGTGATCTCAGACCAGTCTAAGTTCTAGACAAAACCTTAGTAGGGGGAGCTGTCAGAGGAGGAAAATCAAATTTTTTAGAAGAGGAAAAAGTGTATATTTTTGTTGCAATTGAACTGCAGGCTTCCAATACCCTGGGAATATTTAAAACCAAATGTCTGAATAATATAATGAAAGCAAAGTAGACAGCAGAGGAGAAGCACACTAACCTTTTCCAGAGGTGACATCAAACACTACTCCCTTCACCGCCAAGTAGATGGGCTGTCCTTCCTGGAGGGAAAGCCATCAATACATCCTCAGCACTTAAGCACAGGCAAAAAGCAGTTCGTTTTAGCTGTGAAATCCACAAGCTCTTAGGACACAAATTCTTTGTTGTATGTTTACTCTTGTTATACCACCATACTACCTTCCTTCTCTTGACATTTCTTGCTTGTTCTTTAAACTGCCCCTAATATTCTTTGAGGGTTTAGCCATAAGCAATGAGAATCTTTTTAATCTAAACAGCACAACCATAGAAGACATGTCCCTTTTGCAAGTCACCTCTTGTCTGCACACTAGTCTGCTCAAAGATTGTCAACAGCATCTTTCTATTCCTAATGCAGATGGATATTGCCCAAAATAAAAGGGTGTGTGGCCAACAGCATTATTTAAGAAACAAAGATAAATACATAAACACACGTAAATCTGATCTGGTGACATCTGTTTTACTTAATAAGCCAGTGCTTCTGCTTTGTGTTTTATACCTAAGATGTAATTTTAGTCAGACATTGGTTAGTCTCTTCAAAGTATCTAGAGAAGACCCCGAGAAGGTCAGACAGCAAGTGTTTCCAAAGAGAAGCAGATGTGTATCAATACAGGACCATATCATTTTGAGTCTGGCGTTATGCTGAGGCTTCTGAATCACAGCAAGCTAAACACTCCTAAGTTAAAACTGTCTTGTTATTTTGATAATCTTGGTGGGGTTTTGTTGTTGTGTTTTTTGGGTTTTTTAAAAATTATTATTTTGTATTGTTTTTTTAAAGTCTAAGTACACGGTTTAATGAATTAGCAGTAGAAAATTAACTTTGGCTCCAACTCAGGGTAATCTGGAATTCTCTGGCAGGAGCACCTTGCGAGCAGGGAGCGAGTAAAATGGGCACATGGCACCCAATTATCAAACGGTGTGTGTGCAGCATCAGCCCGGGCAGCTGCCAGCCGGACCGCGGCGCAGAGGCTGGAGCACACGGCTGCCTGCAAGCCTCCCGCAAGCTGCTGCCCGAGAAGCGAGAGATGCCCCAAAGGGCAGGGCGCGGGGGATGGCGGGGCGGCACCGCAGCAGAGCACGAGAAACCCGAGCTTGGCGGCGACTCCAGGGCTCGGAGCGCCAGCGAAGGCGGCAGCGCCGGGCTGTGCGGGCCCGGCCCGGCCTCGGCGCAGAGCGGCGGCCCGGCCCTACCTGGTGCCCGTCGTATCTGGCCAGCTCGGGCTCGGTGAAGAGCCGCACGGGGGCCTCGGCCGGCGGCCTGAAGCGCAGCTCGGGCTCGGCGCTGGCGGCCGGCAGCGGCAGGAGCGGCAGGAGTAGCAGGCAGGGCAGCGGGAGCGGGCCGCGGGCCGCAGCGCCCGCCATGCCGCGGAGCGCGCACCGCCCCCGGCCTGCGGCACGGGCAGGGAGCGGGGCGGGACCGGAGTTAAAGGAGCGCCGTGGAGAGAGCCGCAGGAACAGCCGCGGACGCCTGCCCAGAGCTGAGGGGCACGGCAGGGCTTCGGCTGGGCAAAAGGAAGCTTGGGGAGAGCTTGCTGTGCTGCACGACCGCCTGAAGGGCGGCTGCAGCCGAGTGCGGGTCTGCCGCTTCTCGAGGGTAACAGTCGATAGGACAAAGGGAAGTAGCCTCAGGTTTAGATTGGGTACTAGGGAAAACTTCTCCACAGAAAGGGTTGTCAGGCACTACAACAGGCTGCCCCGGGCAGCGGTGGAGATGCTATGGCTGGAAGTATTAAAAAGAAACATGGATGTGGCACCTAAGGATGTGGTTTACAGACTTGGCAGCGCCAGAACAGACACCTAAAAACAAAAGATTTCTCAATTTTCCTCCTTCTTCCCCTCTTGAAGTTTCTCTGCTAGCTGCTTTCAATGTTTATTCACAAAACCAGTGCACACAGTGCAGGCTTCATCTTTGTGACAAAAAACCCAGACATTTTTAGCCTAGGAGCAGACTGAATAAATAGGAAATTTTCAGATTACAGTTTTCCCTGTGCTATAAGTACTGCACGGAGGAACATTCAGGACTGGCAGAAGAATAAGCTTGGTGTTTATAATTCTATATAGAATTAAGAAAATTAGAAACTTTTTGCAGTTCAGATACATATATCAAATCCATCTCTGCAGTGTTGACAAGTGAGGATCTGAAGGATTTAAAGCCTGAATGTTTGATCCTGCAGAATCCACTCTTCCTGAATACAGTGCTGTAATTCAAATGTATAGTAGGATTGTTACTGTCAAAGGACTTCAAATCTTGGTTATTAACTTACTAGGCATGGGCCTTAGGCACAGGGAAATGATCTACTCAGCAGGGACTCCCTTACCGTGTTGCATCTTGTGAAAAACGCCAATCACTTCTTTTAAAAATTTAAAAGTTTAATAGTAACAAAATAGTTATAAAATTAGTAATAAAAATCAGAGCAATAAGAATTTGGACAATCAGAGTTAGGACAATAAAGGACAGTAAAAAGCAAAGAATTACGGACCTTGGGCACTAAGCCCCAAAAAGCATGGCTCACTAACAAAGGATTAACCCTTAAAAGCAATAGCCTGTTGCATATTCACATATCTCATACATGATTCAAACATTCTTTTCAAAGAAAAGGTGTCTTCTGCTTAACTTGTGCTTCCCCCCTCATTTTATAAATCAATTCCTTTGGCTCCCAGGAGTCTGGAAGAAGTCTGGTTCTTCCCGATAAGGAGCCAATAATTCTTCTCTTGGGATGTTGTGTCTTGTTGCTGTTATCTCTATGCAAATAATTTCTTGATTATCTTATCCATTCCTTGAGCTGGTTACAAAAAGTATCTTACATCACATAGTGTCTATTTTAATATTATGCTGTAGCCTAAAAACTATATTTACCACACCACTTAGAAGAGATTAATACAGCATAACTTTCCAACATAACACATATAGTATTCATTTTAATATTTGCAAAGAGCCAATCATATAATACACATTTTTCACACATCTCAATGCAAAAAAAGTTGCACATGCTTTTTCTTGATGATGCAACATTAACAATTACTTCCACGCTGGGGAAGGAAAAAAAATAAATAGCTCTGTAGGTATTTGTGGCCACGTGGTTTTGATTTTATTTTCCTGCAGTGCCCCATTGCTCCGAGCAGGGTGGGTGGGTCACCCCAGGAGTCCTGCAGGAGTTCTATCTGCTGGTCAAGCACATCTGGTGTTCTGATAACAGCCTTGAGCAACAGAAAATTAAAATTTAAAAAAAAAAAAAAAAGATAGTATTTTGTGCAGCTTGGGGGGAGCCGGTTTTCCAAGCCTGGCTCATGCTTGTGTCAGCAGAGTTTGACTTGTGAAGCAGAAGAGTCTCATCTCCCCGTCAGGAGTCTCGGGAGGAGCGATGTTCCTACAGGGCTGCCCAGGAGCCCTCAGGCGTGCGCCGAGCAGCCGGCCCGCAGCGCCGTGCCCGGACTACGCCTCCCGGCAGCCCCGGCAAGGGGCGGGCACCGCCCGGGGACGGGAAGGGCCGGCCGGGCGGCTCGGGGGTCCCGGCGGCGCCTGCTGGCTGCCCCGCCCCGTGCGGTGCCGGCGGGCTCTGCCCGGCCCCGCGGCGCCGTTCCCGCCGATGCTATGCCAAAGCCAGAGGTGTCCGCATCCTACCAGGAGGTACGGGGGGCCGGCAGGGCTGCGGGCGCTCGGCGGGCAGGGACAGCGGCGTGTCGCCGTGAGCTCGGCTCGGCGCTGGCTGCCGGGGCGTGCGGCGGCAGCTGCGCCCTGCGGACAGCGCCGGGTGGCTCGGGTGCGCTCGGCTCCGCGCTTTATCTTTGAACGGGGTTACAACAGTGGGCAGCGGCGCTTTCAGGTGTGTGAGGTGCACACGGCTGGACTCTGTAGCAGGGGTTTGGTGACAAGGGGATAGTCTGTAGGGTGTGAGCAGCGACTTGGGTAGCAGAGCTCCCGCACCCGAAACTGAAGGACGCTTTATCACGCTGCCAAAAGCCCGAGGCAGCTCCTGGTTTGCATATCAATGTACAGGCTCAGCAGCCGGCTTCCTTGCTCGTTCCTATCTCTCCTAATAGACACACAATCAATTTGTGCCAAGTTCAGCAGCGGTGGAGAGTTACAGCAGAGCACTTTTGTTTGTATCTTACGGGCAGAAGGAATGTAGGTATCTTCCTTCCTCTACATGTGACGGGTAGTTTGAGGTTCAGTCTTAATACATTCTAATTTAGTGTGGTACAGTCTGTTTAGTTTCAGCTTCTGGTTTTCTTGCCAGGCTAGAAGGCATTGGAAGGTGATGAATCAGCAGATCAGCAAAAGGCCTGTATGAACAAGTTCTCCTTTTATTTAAGGGAGTTTTATCCAGTAAGAAGGTTTTAGCCTGTGACTATCAATATGGAGTTGACTTGTGTGCTTGTACCTAGGGGAGGTACTTGTGAGAGTTAATGAACCTACACTGATGCCTGAATTTTGGACATGGGTGATGCATGTCATGTTTTGACCTTAAGTATCATCCACCACTGACACTGCCCTCCATGTCTTTGGGTTCATCCCAAACAGTGGCAGGAGTCAAGATAGGGTGTGTGTGTAAGTGTAGCACCTGTGTGTCCATTCCTTCTCCAGCACCTGCAGCAGTCTTTGTTGCTTCTGCCCCTGGCAGGAATGCTCAAATGTCTGCCTTTTCTGAGCTTCTTTTTGTCTAGTGCTTTTCTGTGTACAGGACTGAAAAAGAGCTGCTGGGACATGGGCAGGTTCCTGCGGTTGTTTCTCCCTCAGCTGTATGTGCTGAACCCAGAGGAATGCTGAGTGAAGTTCTGCTTCATGCCCTTCCTGCCCTTGACATCCTGTGCTGTCTCTGCATCCTACTGCAAACTCAACCACCCTGCAATCTGTGTTCCTTCTGATTGGCACCTCACTTCATCCTTTTATCAAAAACACACCACATGGGAAGGGCTGGCCTGTGAGGGTGAACCTGGTTGGCATGCTCCAGGTTTGCTGTTGGCAGAATCCCTGAATCCAAGGGGAGTGGCAAGTGTGAACTGTCCACTACAAAGCTGTCCTGCAGTAGTGCTGTGCTGGCTTCCCAATCCCTGGGAGGCTGTAGGAGGGTGTGTGCATGTGAGGTGTTTGGTTTGTAGGTCTGTGTGCTGCTCAGAACACAGTGGCTGAGCCATGCACAGCGCTGGGATCTTGGTGACCTCAGTTCAGATGCTCAGGATCTGCAGTAAAATAGCTGTTTTTAGGGAGTGGGTCTTACACATCAGCTCAACACTGCTTACTGCATCTGAAGCAGTGTCAGTAGTCCCGCTCTTGCCTGGCTGTCCTTCTCTGGCTTTGTCTGTGAAAAGCTTGTAAAGCATTGTGAACAGAGATAAGAAAACATAGTTGCATATTGTTTGAGATTTTTTGGTTTCTGAGGAGTGCTAAAGGTTTTGTTTTTTGAGTTTACTGCAGAATCGTTTAGATTGTGAATTGCCTCTAAGATGATTTTTCTTCCACTTGTTGAAAAAAATTGCTGTAGGTCCTCTTGAGAGGATAGGAAATACTGCTTATTTTGTTCTTTTTTAAACTTACATTGAGATCTCCTTGCCATCAGGAATAGAATTCACTTACCCTCCCAGTAATCTCAGTCAATGAGGTGCCTGTAGCTGGGGAATCAGAGAGGTGTGGGAGTCAGCTGAGGAACTGCAGTGACTTTGTAACTTTGCTGGTCCTTTGTTGGACCAGCTCTGGTATCAGCAATTTGCATGAGTATGATTTGAACTGTTTTCTTAGCTGATGTAGTGTAACTAGTACAAGAGGTTCAGTGGGTCAGAGTAGCGTATTTTGGGTCAGATAAACAGAACCAGCATGTTTCTACAAAAAGGAGCAGAGTTTTAATTTTCCCTTCTTTTATGGTGGTAATTGAAAAAGGTATCTTCAGTTGGACCCCAGTAAGAGTCTTGCATGTGAGCTGAGTTTTTAGCCTACGGGTTACCTCTTCACTTCTTGCCTCATGCTATGGGAAATCATGCTTTATTTATGTATTAAGCATTTAAAAACAGCTGGGTAACTGCTTTCATCTTGCTTTTCGTGATGAATACAGAAATACAGCAGGAGGTAAAGGAGACTTTACGTCAGATTTTGAACCCATAAAGTGAGTGGACTCTTTCCTACTAGGTGCTAATGATGATCTGGTAATGGCATAATGATGATTTCAGTACTGAATTGGTGAAATAAAAGCACTCCCTGATGGATACATTCACATTTCTGTTGTGTAAGTTAGGGGTGTAGTGTTTAATAGCATTCAGTGCAGCTGCAGCATTAACTGCGCCCCTGTTTTCCTTGAAACAGGAACAAGGCTAATGTGATGTGCTGCAGGCTCATGCCTTGGATAGTGTTGTAATAATCTCTGTGTCAGTTCCCCCATGAAAGAACGCTTGGAAAACATACAAGAGATACTTTCTAGTTATAATGTATTAAATATGTAGTGCTTCACAGTGTCGTGTGATGCTTATCTGCTGTGACGAGCTTCTGACTCTGACAGAAGTGGCTGGGCAGTTTAAACCCAGAACTCTGAACAGCAAAACAAGAAAACATCTGGTCTCTGTTGGTGTTTCAGAAACACTGGAAGACTAATTCATTGCATAACCACTAATATATAATAATCTGCACAGTGAGATCAAATAAGGACCAGAAATGTAGAGATGCTTGACTGTTGTCTCATAATGACCCAGCCACCTCTGGCTGAGACTGTATTTCAGTGCCTTGCATTAACACCTGTCAAAATGTGTCTCGTGCTTTTTGTACCTCTTTATTAACAAGTGCTAATGCTCTGTTTGCTGCTATGTGCTGTGGTTTCTTTATGCCTAAAAATATATTCTTCAGTGACAGAATGAAGTTCCTGCTTGTCAGAGAATGCTGTCCTAATTGCGGGGTTAAAGTGTGTTGGAGCTGTTGGGGAAATAATTACTTTGAACTTGAATGGAAAGGTGATATTATTGTTGAAGCAGCAGGGTAGAAGTAGGTTAAATTTGTAGCATGCAAGTCACTTAATATGTGGCTCTAAGTCTACAGAGCTGTGGCTTTTGTCTTGTGAACAAATGGAACAGAGGTTGGGTGCTCTTGGACAGGGGTTGTGTTTTTGTGCGTTAGGTTAGTTGGAGCCTCTTTTATTTGTACCATAGAAATTCCAACAATTGCAAGTTGAGAACATGTTTGGAAATTGAACCACTGTTTTAACTACACAGCTGAGTGAAGATGTGGAGCGAGTATCTGAAAATCCAGCAGAGGAAAGAGAAGGAGATATGGAAGTTCATGAAGATTCCAGCTCTGTTATTTTACCAGGTGAGAATTATTGACCCCAAATGTACTGATTTTTAGGGCCTGTTAGCTACTGCAGTGCGTGGCTTTGGTTGTTTTGATTTTGCTATTTTATTACACTTCTGAAAGTAAACAAAACACTAATTTCACTACTAATTTCATTTACTTATTTTTTGTGAATCAGTACTGATGGAAAGCCAAGTGGGTTTTCCAAGGACAAGTAGGAGAATGTTTCTTTGTCAGGAGCTGTGCTCAATCAAAACAGGTTCAGCACATCTGACTCTGACATAGCTTAGGATGTCATCTTCCTTGATGTTGTGTCTCACCTGAGTGGCAGTGGGTTGCAGGCAGAGTCTGTGCCAGATTTACATGAGCAAGATGCAATATTGAATAGATGCTTTAAAATAGATTCTTAGAATAGATCCTTGTTCAGGCTGCTTTTGGAGGGCATGGAGCAGTGTTGAATGGGCTTTTTGCAGCTCAGGTGTGGGCTCTGAGGTTAGCCAGCCTGAAAGGAGCATGGCCTTGCAGCTGTTCAAGACATATTTGTTTCAGCAGTGCAATTTTATGCATATTAATGCATAATTGTGCACAATATAATGTCCTAATTGCCTTGGCTGCCATTGCCTGGCATGTAACTTGCCCGCAGACATTTGTGAGTGGTTATGTGTGCAGTAGGGTTCGCTAAAAGGCTCCTGTTTGCTGTGGGAAGGCACAAACACCAAACTGTAGAGTTGGAGAGCAGAGGGTGGCGTGGCCTGAGAGGGCCTGACTCATTACATGACACACACAGAACGGTCAGCAGGAAGCATGGCTGCTTATCTTCTTTCTTATGTTGAGTTTTGATACAAAATTTTGTGTGTTCAGCTGTATATCACTCATGGCAAAACATGATGTGTAACTCAAGAGTACAGGAACCATTTCCTTCGAAGTATTGCCAAAAGACAGGGCAAATGCAAGGGGTATGGGTAAAGCAGTGTCTGTGTGTGGGTGAGACTACTGTGAAGATCTAAAGAGAACAAGATTTGAAGGAAAGGAGACTCTGGGAGAGTTGGGTCAGTCTCTTTCTAGCTGTAATTGAAAGAATCCTTCTATGAAAGTTTTTAACATGCACAAGGAATTATGAACTAGAGGGTAACAAATATCGAGTGACTTCTACCATGGTAGAGATGCAATGCATACAGTTGGCCATGAGCATTGGAATATTGAATAACTCCACTGATGTCTATGCTGCGTGTGTAAGAATCACTTCAGACTGGAAAAGGGCGGAAATGAGTTGGGTTTTTTTTTCCAGAAGCAAAGATTAACCATCAACAGACTTTCTTGTGAACTTCAAACTTTGTTTCTCAGTTGTCCTTGAATACAAACCTTGTTTCCTGCCTGCAGTGGCCTTAAGCAGAAGTTCACAGCCAAATTCTGGCATGCGAAAAGGAGGCACAATCTTAGGTTGATTACACCTCGTACTTGAGAAGGAAGTATCTGCCTGGCTGATCATCAAAACTAGAATTAGCTGTGGTTTTTTTAATCAAGCTGAGTTTGAGGCTTACTTTCCTCTCACATGATTGATCTTTAAATGAAAATTCAGCAAAAATATCTGTATGTTGAAGTCCCAATCCATGTTCTGTTTGTTTCCAGATGGTGAGCTGGGTACCACTACCCCTTCTTTGCGTTTCAGCAAGACCTGCCTAAAGAATGTTTTTTCAGTAATACTCCTGTTTATTTATCTACTGCTCATGGCTGTAGCTGTATTCCTTGTCTACCAAACCATCAGTGACTTCAGGGAGAAGCTCAAGCACCCAGTGATGTCTGTCACTTACAAGGAAGTGTCCTTGTATGATGCACCTGGTAAGAGTGGTAACAAGTAAAATGGGTTAAATTCTTGTTCATGTTTTTCTTGGATTGTTTTAAATTTTTGGTGTTCATTCTTCAGAGCCCAGAGTGTATATAATACTTAATCCTGGTCTTTAATTTCCTCACTTTAGATTAAAAAGTTGTATTGGCTTTGCACAGAAATGTTAACATTGTACGGGAGATTTTTGGGAGCTTTCATGCCAATAAAATGAATGGCAGAAGCTGTGGAGAGTTATGCAACATTTCATAGATAAGAAGAGTTTTCAGACTCTAAAATAAGTCCTCTTTTAGGGGAGAAAGTTAATTCCTTTTGGAAACATTCCCCAAACTGTATCATTCAAACAGAGTAACACATAGGATGTGTATCAGGAGCTCAGTGCTGCGCTGGGCAATGAGATGCCATTCACAGTAAAGAAGGTGAATTTCTGAAACCAACCACAAAATAACCACAATGCCACTTTCTACTTCCACCCTGCCTTGTTTACAGCATGGCATTACGTCAGTAGGCAAGGCAATGAAAATATGATGTGACTGCAGGGAACAATGTTGGCACAAAAATGCAGCATGGCAGCAGAAACTTGCAGTTTGCAGGAGGAGTTGCTCCACAGGGGCATTTTTGAATAGTGAGTTCTGTTGTTATTTTTTTTAATTGTCCAGTAGCCATTCATAACTAGAACCATGGTAGCAAATGCAGCTCAGTCAGTGAGTTTCCAGTTTAACAATAATACTTCTATTAGAAGTGTCACCACATTTTCCAAATACCCACTTCAGTAGTTGTGGCTGAAAGGTGTTTTGAGTTGTTGCCATATTACTGTAGTTGTTTTTCTCTATGGCCAGTTAGCCCAGCTCTGGAAGTAGTGCTTTATGTTTGGACCATATGAATCTGACTTTAAGAGTAAGCAAACCCAAGCTTTTCCCCCCTTTTTTATTTTTCCTTTTTTTTTTTTTTTTTTTTTTTCCCCCCATGTAAGCTTTTCATCCAGTTTCAGGAAGAAAATAAGCAGATTTTAAATAAGCAGAGCAGCATACATATAAATCCAAAAGTATTATTGGAAATCCCTGCAGATCAGAGAACCTAAATCAATGTAGTCTTTTAGTTTATTGCTCTATTAAAATGATGAGATGGCAAGTTGCAAGCATGGAGCTCTGAAGAAAGGAATAAAGCATTTAATATATGCTGAGTGCTTTGACATCTCACATTTTGGTGGGCAGGTCATCTCAGTTGTGAGTTAATTATATCTAATCAATCATACACTTTTTTTTGTTTGTTTTTTTTGGGTTTTTTTTAAGTTGGAATAGGTTATCTTCCAGCAAACTTGTTTCCAGTAATAATTATGGCAGTAATAAATAAATAAATTTTGAGGTTTGGCTCTTGTATTTTGCTAGCTTTCCAAAGCTGAGGTGGCTGAGTTTGCTTGAATGTGCTGTTGGGCTGAAACAGGAGGTTTATGGCATGTGTGGGTTTCCATCCAGGTGGAGTAGTTGCCTGCCCTACCCAGTGCTGTAAATAATAAGAGATGGTAGCAGTTAGTGCATGTTTGATGGCTTTGATTTTTATGATGATGTCACATTCGGTTAACAGAAGATGCTGTATTCTGAAGAGCATCTTTTCACTTCTATTTGCTCAGCCAGTGATCTTTGATCTGTCATGTATGGTATGTGCATTATTTCCAATTAACACTTGGTGTGTTAAATGCTAATATCTGAAAACTAAAGCACTACGTGTCCCATTTGATGCTCCCTAACATATTTTACAGGTTATCTGGGATTGAGAGGGACTGATGGATTAGCTGCTGGCTTCTGGGAAACTCAGTAGCTTCTATGAACCTTGAACTGTTGTAACAGAATATAAGCCCTTATTTTTTTCAGTGCATTGTGGGGGTTCTGTCCTGATGCAGTTGGTCTTTTTGTCCTGCTCCAGAAAAATGTGGAAGTGCATGGTTTAATTTGATTGTTTGGTAGCATCTTAAAGATAGCTCAGTATCCTGTGGGATTACATTCCAGAATGAAATTCTATGTCCTCAGGAAGGAAATCAGTGCTCTCCAATGTTTTTTCTCCCCAAACAGGTATTGCCTTTTACCCAGGCAAGGCTCGGCTGCTTAGCTGCAAACATCATTACTACGATCACATTCCACCTCTGATAAATCCAGGTCAGCCAGGAGACATTGAATGCACCACTCAGAGGATCAACTACACAGATCCTTTTACTAATCTAACTATGGTAATAACAATATCATAGAACACAGCTTGTTCAGTGTGGGGTTTCTGGTCATAATCGCGCTGGAAAGTAAATGTATGTACTACATGCTGTAAAAAAATCCTTGCTTTTGGATGGTTTGGATTTTTTGTAAGCCATCTGTCATTTTGTTTTCAGAAATGTAAAAGATCACAGACAGTGTATATATGTGTTATGGAAGATCAGCTCTCCTGTGGGTGTGTGCAGCACAAAACCCTTAATGGCATAAAATAAGTCATTTTTCACAGTGACCCTCTCACTTCATTCTTCTCCTAAATGAACTGGGAAGCATTTACCTTGATATGGTAAACCTAGCTTTGATTGAAGGCAGTATCAGTATCCATTGAAGGAGGATAGCTAATCTCTTTTTTTATGTTTGCTGGGAATTCATACATGAGTTCCTGCTGGGAATTATATACCATGTTTGTCACACTTCGAAGAATCTTAAATGGGCACCAAGTGCTTCATTACACTGAAATGCTTTGAGCCAGCAAGATGGGTACAGTGAGGAGTGATAGTCTGTCTTAAATTGCCCTTAGAAGTGCAAGGACTCTTGCTTCTTGATAAACAAATGTCCAAAACCCACAAATTACCATATTTAATACTTAAATATTAATATTTAAACACTGAATCTTGATGTAAAGATCTCCTTTTTAAACTAAAAGGAGGGACTGAAGTGGCATTCTTGTTAGCTATTTTAATAGATGTGCACTTAGTGGCAGCCAAGAAACTCTGTGTGTGTTAGATTTCTAGAGTATTAGTGCCAGATGGCAAATTAATGAACAGGAAATGAGGATTCCTTTGCTCCTCTCACCATCTCTGTTTGCTTACAGAAGTATGCTTTGGTTGTTCAAGGCCCTCGTGATGTGAAGAAAAGGGAGCTGGTGTTTTTGCAGTTCCATTTAAATGAGACAGACCAAGATTTTAGTGCCATTGACTACCTGCTGTTTTCTTCTTTCCAAGAGTTTGTCAGCAGGTATGTAAAGGGGGGATGAGCCTGTGGCTGCATTGAACTTGCTGTCACAATACTTGTGGAAGCAGGGCTTTTTCAGTGAAAATCAGGCAGGCTTTTATGATTTTTTAAAATGTTTGTAGTATGTTGGTGTTCTTTCACGTCTTTATTTACTAATCTGACCTTTAAAGAATGTCTTGAGGGCTTTTTCAGTGACAAAAACTGTTCTTAAACCGTTTTTTGCTGCACTTTCTCAAAGCCTGGGGTTTGTGCTGGCTTCCTGCTGTCTGCTGCTGTGGGTGATCAGGAAGTGTGCTGTCCTGGGTAGTGTGTCAGGAAGTGCACCAAGAACACAAACATTTCTGTACCATTTGGGGGTTTTAAAAGCAATTGCTGTAAAGGTCAGATCCCTAGATTGCTTTGTTGTGATTTCATTGAAAGATTAACTCTGTTTCTTTGTATTGCTGGCTTTATTTAAGATTCTACAGAATTATGTAAATTCATATATGGGGTTTTCAAAATTGTATTTTTGTATTAGTTTGGCATTTCATGCTTGATGGTTTAATTTTTCTTTAATTTAAATTCAAGTTCCGTTCTTTTCTCTGAGATCCAGATTAAAAGTTAATCAAGAAATATTAGTCATAGTGACACCTGATAGAAATCCTTAATTTGATAATCGATGCTCAGTGAAAAAGGGACAGGGGATAGAGGACCTGTGCAGAAGAAAATTAGGTGAGGGAGGGAAGAGAACAGATTTTATTGTAGCAAGGCCTTCTCAGAGGCTTTGACATGGTCATACTGATGCTTTTCAGGTGGATCAAAGACTGGAAGTGTTCAGACATGATATCTCTGGGTGGCCAAAGACCAGTTAGTTGGATTTTCCTTTTGTAAAGCATTTCTGCTTCAGTGAAGACATCCTAAGTCTTTAACTGTTTTCTGTAACTGTACTGAAACACCTCATAAAATGCTAATGTTCTGGGTGTTTTAGGCATTGATATTTTAGGGTGGGAGAACACCAGTTAAGAGCAGTGGTGTAGAAGGTGCTGCTTGTTCCTTATGGTTTTTTTCCTGGTTTTATGGCTTGTGCTCTGGTTAGAAATGCTTACAGTGGGACCCCTTGCGGCAAAGTGCTCAGCTCTTTCTGCACTGCCAGGCACCAGCACTGCCTGAGACCACTGCAGTGCCCTGGTGCAGCTGGCTGGGGACAGCATGAACAGCTCAGTCTGGGCATCCTCAGGCCTTGGAAGCCACATGGGAAAGGGGGATGTTTGTTTGGGGATGCATCCTTTGTGCTTGCTTGAGGCAGGTAGTAGGAATAGGAGTTAAAACTGGTTTTGAACTAACCCAGGTGAATGGTAACATTGGCAAGGGAAAGAAGGCCTTAGTGGTAAATGATCTGCATGTCTAGATGGAATACAGGAAAAGAACCAGCTGTGGGCAAGAGGCCAGTGGTGTCTTTTCTGCAGCATCCTCCCAAACTTGATGCAAATGGTGTGGCTTGTCTTGCTCGGTGCTGTGTTTGCTGTCCTGGCCTGAACTGGCTGGGCTCAGGGCAGGTTGGAAGTTTACATTTCTCCTGACTATGAAAAGTGCATGTGAACCTGCACTGTGTATGTGGAGAGCACTCATTCTGTTCAGCTTCCAGCAGAAGAGAAAATAGATTTCTTGTTCATCAGCAGATGCTAAATTTAGCTGATGGGAAGTCTGGCTTAAGATATCTGTAGAAACTGTTATGTGTCCCTCCATACAGCCTCTGAAATCTTCCATTACTGGCCTCTGTTAACTACTTTTCCTGACAAAGTGTCTCACTGGTTATGAGAGCCCAGAATAACACTGTGCCCAGCAGTTCATGTACAGTGTTATCAGAGGTGCACAAGCAAGAAAAAAATGGCATCCAAAGACTTGTAGCTTTAAGAGATTTTTTGTGGTGTAGTAAGTGCTGAGGACTCGAGCAAGTTCCAGTTGTTTCTGTCAAGGGCTTTATTCTCTGCAGCCCTTCTGTTAAAATTGGATCAGACTCCATGAAACTGGCACTGCTCACTGGTTTTGTTCTGGTCTCCACAGAACACTGCTGCACTGTGTGCTGTTGTTGGCCTCTGAGCTGGAGGGAGATGCTGCTGGCTTCTTTTTCTTTTTCTTTTTTAAGGTAGTGTTTGCTGCTGTGTGTACCGTATTAATTGGAGGGAGGGAAATAATGAAACCCTTGCAAATTACCCAATATGTGTGGCTAAAAATGCAAGTTCCTCTCCTGAACTCTCATTAGGATAATACGTGGGGTTTAGAAGAAAATCCTGAATGTATTCCTGACAAAACTGTTAGTGTAGCATGTCAAATAACTTATGGTCCTGTGAAGTGATGGATGCCAGTATGAACAAATCAGAGATGATTTCAGGGTCTAAACAGAGCCCCATGTTCATGTCTCTAGTCTGGATTGCTGCATGCAGAGAAATACAACATAGAAGGATTGAGACTTTTGGTACCAACACCAGCCTTTATTAGATGCCATGGCTGTTTGAGTTTCCTGCTCTGGGGAAACACAAAAGCAATAAACACATTGGACTTGAACCATCAGTGGGTTTGGCTCTTGCTGTTGCATTGGAATCTGCTGGTGGGATGTCCTGAAGTTCTCTGGCTCTCATGGGGTGGTCCATAGACACTGGTGGTAAGGGATCCACTGCAGCACTACAGCCCAATCCAGAAATAGGTTAGTGACTCCCACACATAAATGAGAAAAAAAAACCCCAAACAGCAACAAAAAGAAGAGGTGTAGCCTGTGTGGGTTGTCTGTCTTTGGTGGGAAGAGGGAATTAAAAGAAACTCCGTGGAGAACTGTTTTTCAGCTTAAAATCCCTTTCCTGTCTTGTGTTCACTTGGTTGTGTGTGGTTTTAAAGCTGTGTTATTTGCCCTCTGCTATAATTTGTGCAAAGCTTGTGCCTCTCTGCTGTGCTCCTCCTGTCCACCCCCCTTTTTTTCCCCTCACTCTGTGGCAGTGGTCTGGATTATGGAGATGCCTCTCAGATCACTTCTCCACAGTTTCTCCTAAGATATTATTAATCCTTCTTTTTCCAGCCTGCAATTACTGTCGAAGGCAAAGCATACTGCTGCTGTCTGCCTACCATAGAAGTTGTGGCTGTAACGTTCAGCTCTGTCTCATAACTTCCTGCCTCATTTTTCCATGTTGGCTTGGAAAGCTTTTCTGTGTTGCTGTATTTAGCCAGCCATTAGGCATATGACTGGCTGGCAGATGCTAATTATGTATGTTCCTCTTCAGTGGCAAAGCACTCCAGGGCTCCCCTGTGCCGTCCCCTCAGCTGCTGCTCTGCCACATCCCAGGAGGGGAAGCAGTTGTTGGATTAGGTGTTCCTGTGTCGCTGGTTTGCTCTGGTGAGGGGCAGGCAGGCCATGGGCTTTGTCCTTAGGCTCTGCCCACATCTTTCCTGTGGGAGGCAGAGAGGTGCCATCCTGTTGGGGTCACTAAACAAGCACCTTATGTCAAAATAAAGATATTCCTAACTTCCTAGGACATCCTGGGAACAGCATGTCCCTTGATAGGTAGCAAAGCGTGTTAGTTTTTCTTTCCAGAAACCCCTTCTCTTTTCTATGCATGTGCACAGTGGAATTCTGAGTCCATTGCCTGAAGCCCTGACTTGAGAGAAGGGCTTTGCTGGGTTTTGCCCTCCCATGGACATGTGTGCATTCATCTATTAAGCCTGAGCAGGTGCTGTGGTACAGAGTAGCCATCAATTTGATATTTAATCAGTGCAGTCCCTGTGGTCCTTGTAGACAAGGCACCTTGGTTTGTAGAAAGAAAAGAAGCCCTGAGTTTAAAAACTAAGAAAAAAATACAGGAAAAGTGCAAATCCGGTCAGTACTGGACAAATCTTCCTGACTGGCCTGTTCTGGAACAAGAGCTTGCTTCCTCACCTCTGCTTTCCTCCTTTACTTCTTTGCATTTTTCTCCTGGAAGACAAAAGGAAAGATGAAGGAAAAGATGAAGGAAAACACCTTCATCTCCTAAAAGACCTGGTTATGCACACCCTCTGCCACAAAAGCAAAGAACACTCTTTCCCTTCTCCTATGTAGATGGATTTAATCTGCATCAAAACCCTCTCCCTTCTTTTAAGGACCAACATACCCTGGCATAGCTCTACAACCTGAAATCTGTCTTAGTAAAAATAGCCTTTAATGATTCCTGACTTCTCAGAGTGGTTTACCCCTTCTTCTCAAATGAAACCTTATTGGAGAAGCAGCTGCAGGGCTGGGCTTATTTCACAGGGATGACATGAAAATGGCTAAAATCACAGTACTGAAGAGCTCCAAGTAAATAGCATGGTTAATTCGCTATGTCCTGTGCAGCTGGTAGAGAAGAAATGGAGACCAGAAATGCCTTCAAGCTATCCCTTTACTACTTGCAGCATGAGGAGTGTTGGAAGCCTTAAAGATTTACAGTTGCAGTATTAAAAAGCAAAACCCCAACCAAAACACACAAAGCAATCCTGCTGTTCTGGGGGCTGCAGATAGCTGTGATTGCCCATTGGGATAACAGTTATTGTCCATTGGGATAATAAGAGTTATTGCATATTGGGATAACAGTTATAGCAGGTGGGAGCCTCACACCAAAGCTAAAGTTCTTCCAAAATAATAGGATTATACTGAATGTCAATTTCAAGGCATTTTAAACATGTATGCATTGTAACTGGTTTATTTGGCAACCAGAAATGAGGTGAAGTATCCTGTCCTTCCTCTTGGCTCTTCCTGCTGTCTCTTGCTTCCTAACATGGTGATGAGTTGTTTCCTGAGGTCCTGGCTCTGCTCCTTTCTGTCCCAGAGGTGGCTGGTGAGCAGAGCTAAACTCCCTGTGGGGCAGAACAATCCCTACAGGCAGGCAGAGCTCCAGGGTTGTGGGGCACCACGTAAGTCCTCTGCAGTTAAGGATGCACCAGTGAAGTGCTACTATTAATGAAAGCATCACTACACACAATGTTTTAAATATGTTGAGTTCAGCAGATGGAGAATAAAAGGAATTGTGAACATAGCTTGAAGATGAAGAGCCTAGGTCTGACCTTCTCCTGACTACAGTGCTACATTGATTTGGTCAATAAAGTAATGCTTTTTTTTTTTCCTTTAGTTCAGAAAAAGCAAAATTCATGAAGGACTGTGAAAGCTCATACTCCAGCTGGAAGTTTTCTGGAGGCTTCCGAACTTGGGTCAAGATGTCCTTGGTCAAAACAAAAGAAGAAGATGGTAGTGAGACTGTTGAATTCAAACAAGAGGTAAAAAAAAAAAAAAAAAAAAAAAAAAAAAGTAGTACTCATGTTTTGGGAGTCTGGTTTTTGTTTCATTGCATCCATGATGCCACTCTGCACTGAGCAATTTTGGCTCTAGTTGCTCCCACTGTTTCTCAAGAAGGAGGGATTCTGTAGAAGTGTAAATGTCTTGATGTGCTCAGCTGTTGGTGTGGCCTCGTGACAGAGCTCAGGAAGATATCTCCTAACAGGGAGGCCAGAAATCCAGGCCTCACTTGGGTTATGACAGCTGTAGTCTGAGGTAAGGGTTCCAAGAGACTGACATAGAAATACTAGCACAGCTACCTACAGTTCAAGGTGGAGAGCAGTTGCCAAAGGAATTGTCTAAGTAACAGCTACTGTTGGAAAGAGGTATTGTTTAGGTTGCCACTGATGTTACAATGAAGAAGTAAATGTAAGCCTTGTATCCTTTGTAGCATTCTTATGTCTGTTTTTTGTGTTTGGGTTTGGAATTTTAGCTGTTGAGTGTCTTTAGAAACATGGAGTAACTTATTGCATCACTTAAAACTAGAAAATATGCAGGTGGAAGATGCAAGCTTATCTAGAGAGGAAATGAGCCTGACTTGCATTCCTGTTCTGTTCACATTAATGCATGGGAAAATAATTATGTTTTGAGTTTGTTTTGTTTCCAGTGTTGGTTGGAAAGGAAGTGTCTCACTAGTGGTGAGAAATGAAAATTTTAAGAGCTGTCTTTTCCAGAGGGTGTCTCTTTCAGAGATTTTACTTTCTCTTGGTCCTTGGTACTCTTGGAAGGAGTGTTCTGGGGAGAGCAAAATGAAGCAGAATCTTCAGTTCTATCCTTAGTTCTAACTCTTAGGTGTTACATGGCACAGCCTTAAGGAAAGCCCCGACTGTGATGGGGGGTACACTCCTACTCCACTAGAGAAGGACAGGAGGCAAATCCCAGAGTCAGGCAAGTCCCATGTTAATACCTTGGTCTGGAGGAGAGGAAAGAATGCATCAGTCTGCTGCTGCCATGTAAGCACTGACAGGAGCTGCCTGTCTGTCCCTCAGCACCTACAGCTCTGTATCATTTGCCATTTGGTGCTTACCATTTTTGAAAGTCTTCCTTTGTGTGCCCAAGTCTAATGTGTCTCAAAGTGGAAACAAAAGGCTGGCTCAAATTCAGGGAAAAAAGAGCTTTTTGTGACCATAAACGTCTGTTTAGTTCAGCAGTTATGGACTGATCATCTGAGTAAGTGAGCACTGTTGCTGGTTTGGGTTTTCTGTTTGTTTTGTGGGTTTGTTTGTTGGTTTGTTTTTAATAAAACCTAGGAACCAGGAATCAGATCCATATTAATAATACAGCAGAAATTGAAACAGCTCAGACATAATTTGTACTTGCTTTGTTTGACAGTACAACATCTGCTCAAATTGCACCAGGAAGTCCATTAGGCTTTCAAATCCAAACCTGGGAGCTGTCATACTGGAAAGATGAACACAATTACTAGGTCAAACAGAACAGTCACTCACTCTGCTAACTAGCCCAGCAGTCATTCATTTGTATTTTCTTCCTTTCCCATTGCCTTTGTTTTGCCTTGTTTGTTTCCTGGTGTGCAGTTTTCTTGGATGAGTGTGGTTGGGGCACTGGTACTCTGCAATAAGGAAATCAGCTGTGGAAGTGTGGGGCAAGTGTTGGAATCCAAAATACAGGGAATTCTCAAAACTTTGGGCCTGTAAGCCAAAGCTTAAATTAAACACTGGATTTGATCAGAGACCTTGGAAAAGGCTTCCAAACTTAAATGCTAGAAGCAAGAATGTGGATTTATAGTTTAGAGCAGACACATGTTAAGCGAAGTAGAGGAAGGTTTAGAGTTTTAGGGTACAGTACTTTAGGTTTGTATGTCATAACATGATTGGCTAAGAAAGCTTACACTGTAGTATGAGTCCATAAGACAAAATATTTAAGGATTGGGTGTAAAACAATCCTTGTTGGCAGTGTTTTATTGGTTAATAAAGGTCTTGCAACAAGAGGTCTTGTGACCTTCTGAACCATGGGGTAAAGATGTGAGCTGAACTCACCCTTCCTGCCTGTAGAAGATAAGGAAAATAAATTGCATCATCTAAAGCAGCTCACAGGTCCTGTCTCTGGTTCATTCAAAACTCCTCACAAATCCTCACAGGCAAGTCTGCAGCAAAGGTGTTTGACCAGAAACCACAAGCTGGGGAAGCTCCCTATGCTCTGAGTAGCCATGAACAGTGTTCTGTCTCCTGTTTCGTCTTGCCTGCAGCTTAAAATCTCTTCAGGGCTGGGGCTGTGGAGAAGACTGAAAGAAACCCTGAGGTATTTGTAAAGAGACTGCACCATGGCAGATTGCAGGCTTTTGTGGCAGGTCATCCCTCATGCCATGGGAAGGGTTGTAAGGAGATGAAAAGAGTGGTCTGCTTAGAGACTTCCAACTCTGCCTGGAAAACTGGGCTCACAAAACGTAGAAAAGGCATGCTCTTCCATCATCTCTCCCATCTTCGTGTCACAACTCTGATGCAAAGTCACAGTGCTGCTGGATTCATTGCTCCCAGTACAGAATTAAACAGGACGAGCAGCAGTACTCCCCTCTGCACGCACCAAGATGTAAACACTCCTTTGAGGCTTGGAGAAGGGAGATGTCCTTCCACCACTGTGCTTCCCTGAGGTCCCTGTGTGGCTCTTGGGCAGTTTGTGTTGTGTCCTAGGAGCAGGGGGCAGTTCCAGCTGTGTTGGTTACTGCCTGTGTACAAAGCCTGTGTAGTTCCCCCCTAGGCTGGGGGCAGGTGGTACAATACGAGTGTTTTCCTGGGCCTGATGTCTTCATGTTTTCCTGGTTGTGGTTTTTGAGACTCTGGCTTCATGTGGCTGTAACACAGTCTGGTATCCTAACCCAGTTCCCTGTTGGAATTGTGTTACAGCTCTCTGCTGGGCAGCATTAGTTCCAAGTGGTGACCTAGTTAATGGGCAGTACTGGGAAGTATGGGTTTGGTTGTTAATACCTGGGCTTCTTTCCGTCCATGTTAATTCTGCACTTGCTGGAATGTTCTAGTTTATTCTACAATCCATTTTTCAAAAAGAAGGAATCTTCCTGCCACCATTATGTGGTTCTCTGGCAAATAAATTTAACATTCATTCATGAGAACTTTCCAAATGTTTTATTGCTGTAAGTAAATTAATTTTGGAAATAAATTGTCCCCTCTTGAGAGGCAATGTAGAAATGGTATTGTAGTGTGATACTGAGTGAGAAATAGGGAAATAATGAGACAGAGGGAGGACGTATTTTGGCAGCCCATTGCTCTAGGTAGAGAAAGGCTGCAGTGGAAGTCCCTAAATAGTCTGGTATTTTCACCTTCTTACAGGCCTTTTCTGTTGCACAAAAGACTCATTGTACTGCTGAAGAAAGTAACCTGCACTTTTCTCTCCCTCTCCCTAGACCAGTGTGGTTAACTACATTGACCAGAGAACTAAACCAAGGAGTGACCAGCTGTTCTTTGTGGTGTTTGAATGGAAAGATCCTTTCATACAGACTGTTCAGGACGTGAGTAACCCGCCTGTCCCCTCTTCAGTCACTGTCTGACTGTGCGTGCTCGTGCTGGGTGTGTGCGTACACTTGCCTCTGTCACCTCACCCCAAGAAGAAATGCGGAGAAGAGTGAGGATACTTCTGAAATTTCAGTGTAGACTCTTCCTTATGTCCAGTAATGCATTCTGTGTGGAGGTTCCTTGGGCTGGTGACACTCAGCATTCTGCTTGCAGCTAGAGGTACCATGAAGCTAAGAAAAGCGCCTGTCCCTCTGTTCAAGCAAAGGGTAGCTTCAGGGCAGGGCTAAAATTTGTGCTTTAGTAAGTCTGCTGCATAATTTGATTTAATGGCTTCTTTTTTTTTAGTTGACAAGAAACCTAGGCTGAAATAAGAATAATAAAAATAGCCTAGTATATTTTTTTAATCCATTATTATAATAAATTCATTAGAATAAAATCAGCAGCAAAATCTAAAGTGTTGGTGTTTTCTTGCCCAAAACCAGAGTGTGAATGCAGACTGTGTGGGACAGGAGTTGGTCCTTTGCACTCCTGCTATCCCAGCCCAGGCACCTCCTTGGCCTTTAGAGCCCAGTCCTATTCCCACAGCTCTCACTCCTCTCTACCTATGTGGAATCGGATGAGGGGACTAATATTTGTCATCTCTTTCAGATTATCACAGCAAATCCCTGGAACATGATTGCTCTTCTTTGTGGTATCTTCCTGGCCCTGTTTAAGGCAGCAGACTTTGCTAAGTTAAGCGTTAAGTGGATGATCAAAATCCGAAGAAGGCATCTGAAGAGGACTCGTCAAGTAACAAACCACATAAGCTGAGACTAAGACTGCCTTTTAACTGTTCATAGCAGGAGAGATAGAAAATAACTGGAATAAACTGCAATCAGCAATTAAAGCTGAAAACCAGGTATGCTTTCTTCCAGAGAGATGCTGGCTGGAGGAACAGCCTAGTGAACTGGCCTTGGAAGTGCAGAAAGAGCTAACTCTAGCACAGGTCTAACAAACTCACACTTTTCTAGTCCAAGTTTAACAAGTTTACCTCTGTGTATGGGGGAACCAGGGGGAAAGGTGGGAACTCGCTGATGTCCAGAAAGTCATAACTGTAGTAAATTGTGAAAAAGTGGACAGTATTTGAATGTTTCTCCAACAGATTCTTTAGTTTCTGCATCAGCTGTGAGCTGCTCCCATAGCACAGTCACTGCCTTGATGGTGCTTAGTGGAAGGTAAAGTGCTCTGAAAACACCCTGGCCTCCCTTCTCCAAAGTATATTTTAAAACAAAATACACTGGAATTCTATTACATGTCATCTTTAAATCAAAGTACAATGACTTTAATATTAAAAAATACTTCAAATAATCTATGGTGTGCCTTCATTGAAACTACCTGCTCTCAGGTTGGGAAGGAGCTTTACAGGAGACAGGAGTGCTGTGGCATGAGGATAAGGTGTAAATCACAGATCAGTCCATCTCAAAGGAAACTCAAGCAACAGGACAGCGTGGGGGGCTGAGCTGGTGGCTGATCTCAAAGTCTGTCTCAGGCTATTGTTCATCCCTCTTTCTGGCAGTCTTTCCTAAGGAAGTGAAAAATAGTCTTTCAGCAGCAGGGCATGGAACTGTGATTCTGTTCTATGGGGAATGCCTGCTCACCAGCTGTGCTGGGGTGCTGGTGTCTTTTTCTTCCTTATAAGTCCCTTGTTAGTTGAGATGCCTGACTTGGACGTGTGGAGTCTACAGGGAGCAGGGCACCACTGTGTGTTTGCTCTGAAGGCTTTGCTGCAAGGACACCAACTCAGAGTTTGCTTCTTCCTTCCTCTTCCAGCAGGGTACTCAGAGGAGTAAGTGTATCAAAAATACCCCCTCACCGTCCTTCCTTGTTTTTGGCATCTGAGGAAGCCTTTTGGGACAAAATTTCCTACTTTCAGCTGGCTTCCAGAGCAAATTAAGGCACTGCATTGACCAGACAGCCTCAAACAGGGGAGCAACAACTCATTGCATTAAGATAAATAGCAGCACTGGCTGTTTGGGGGAAAATGTTTACTCAGGGGACAAAGGGGTTTGTATGAGAGAAAGGTGGTGTCCAGTCCCCACCTTGTCTTCAGTATCTCACAAGGATGGCTCCTGAGCAGCTCAGCCTAGTGCACAGCAAGGGATTCAGATTAAACTGAACAAAACCAGCAAAGGGCAAACACTGCATGGTTGAAGCAAAGAAGGCTACTCCATCTCTGGGTGGTGGGGAACAGGACAGAAACCAGGCAGGGGGTGGAGGAAGAAACGATTGTAATAGGTTCTGATGGATCCTACTGCATTTTTTCTTTTTTATTTGCTAATAAGGTCAGAGAAGGTAAGCTGGAAGACAACGTAGCTGCAGCTGTGGGGTGAGTAGAAAGCACAGTTAAATAAAGGACAAAACTCCTTTTTGCAGTATGTACTATTTTTTCCCCTCAATAAACTCCCACAGCAGTCCACTTCAGTCACTACATCTCAGCTGTCAAGATGTTTTGTTTTATAAGGAAATGTTACAAGAGCAGACCAGCGATCCCAGCCAAGAAACCTTTCTTTTGCATACCTATTTATAGGAGCGATCCTGACAGCAAGTGTTGCACAATTTGGAAGGCTATCTTACGGCTCCTGCGTTGTTTTTTTTCTATTACTTAAGCCTGATGTCCCTATTTGTAACCTTGGGAGAAACTCGTAAACAATTACAAATGGCAGTGATTTATTCCTTGAACCCCTGCAAGGTGTTTGAGTCCCCATTTGTGTAAGTTATTTTCATTTAGGCTCTAGGACAGATGAACAAATTTTGTCGCACACTGGGAACTTTATTTTTCTAAGGGCAACAAGGCACTAAAGCACTAAACCAAGGTGAGCTGTGCTTGTGTGACTGTCCTTTCCCTTCAGGCAGTGCTAGTCCCATACCCTCTGTGAAACAACTACTTGGACACAAAAATGAAGCAACAAATTAAGTGTAATACAGTTGACTCAAACAGCATGGCAGGGACTTCCCCACTTTTGCCACTCAGTGGAAAGCCACACTGGACAGCTAAAAAGTTGTTTGTAACAGCCCTTCTAATTCTACTGGTCTTCAGAAACACAAAGATGTGAGGTACAGCACTAAATACAAACATAAAGACTTTATTGAATGCTGCTCAATTCCCCAAAGATCTTTCATTACAAAATTTTTCCACACAACTGCAATTGAAGAGATTGGAATGGTACTCTGATAAAAGATGTGAAAAAAAAAATACTTGATCAAGTAAACAGACAAGACTTCTATTGTCAACTTTCCACCTTTAGAAAACAGACTGCATTTTCTTTAAAGAAAACAAGGAATAATTTCTTGACATTCTTCCCACCTTACTAAAAAAAAAAATAGTAATGCCAATTTTGGTCTCATTCTTCAGTCCATGAAATGCTAAAACTAATGCAGAAACATCCAAGATGGGTCTCTCTTGGAGACTGCACCACTCTGGAGGGTCCTTGGGCTGATGAGGAGCATCATTGATGGGCTCTCCCGAGGAAGCTCCATCCTCAGCTGTAGCAGGAGGAAACCCCTACCTAGCCCAGGACCCAAGAGGCAGCAGAAAAGGGGTTATGGGCCCTGGCCACCCCAACCTGTTGCAGGTGATTCTTTCCCTACCCTGCCTCCTTTCTAATGTGAGCATTGTATAAATCTAAATCTGAATCCAATCAGGAATTCAAGGAAAGCTCTGTATCCGAGTTCCTTTCAATGCTGTAAGGGGCATATACTGAATATCTCAAGTTACTGGTAACGTACCTTGGTTTTATTTGAGAAAATACAGCACAACTAGAAGCCTTTTCTATCATCTTAACCAAAGTATGCAGCAATGTGAAAAGCACATATAAAACAAGGAAAAATGTGTACGTAGCAAACTATACCACCTATGTGCAACACAATCAAAAATTCAAGTCATAATTCTCACCACTCCCGTAATTATTTCACTCATTAAGGATGATAACTCAGTTCTATGAAACACTGGAAGTGACAGTATATCAATAATTAGACAAATTTACAATATGTTGTGGTAATGACATCACTTAACTGCTGTATTTAAATTCAAATCTTTACACTTGCCAGAGAAAAAATTTGGCTGTTTCTATTATACTGAGGTTTCTTTTGCAAATCCTTATATATTTCAAAAGGGTACAAAAAAAGAATGTCTGCCGAGTAGAGGTGGTCATTTCTTTTATTTGGCACTTGTATTGTGTGCATTGAGCACGTTGTGAGTGGCGTTCTGCTTTTCTGCCATCGCCTTCTTAAGCTTTAACTCCTCCAACCTTCTCCACAACTCTTCACGTTCCAATTCTTTCTTTTTCTCTCTGAAGGAAAGAGTGAAAGATCAATTTCAGATGTGTTTTAAGCATGGTCTGGAGACACAGTAACGTAACTGTGACTAGCATCTACTAATTCCACTTCAAAGTTTTTCTCCAAAGCTATTTTTAGAAGCAATTACAGTTTCCTCAATTAAAAAGAGAGCATAACAAGTCATGGTGAGTGCTGAAACTGTACCTTGCTCCAGCAAATGCAGACAATTGCTGTAGGGTGGCTTTGCACAGCTGGCTGCTGTTTTAAGGAGGCTTCTTGTCACATGTACGCAAATTAAGGGACTGAGAATCTTAGAGGGAAGAACACAGCTGCCACAAGGAGGCTTGGCAGTGGTCTCAGCTGTCCAAGGGTCCCCTGTGCCCTGCCTCCCTGACTCCAGCAGTGCTGATTAGTAGGTTATTAGGGTAAGCGCTGGTTCTGCTGGGCTATGAAGAGTTCTCCAGCTCCATTCTCTTCAGACACCTGAGGCAGCACAGCCAGCAGCAGCTGAGACCCACCCAGGAGGGAGCACATCCCCTGCCCAGGCAGGAGGGGAGCTGGGGTCCTCCTGTCCCTTCCCTGGGCTCAGCTCTCCCATGGCACTGCCAGGCACTGCCTCACTCATGGGACACCCAGCACCAAACAGCTCCACTACAGAGCCCCACAACAGCAAAGCACCAGCCAAAATTACAGCTTGGACATACTCCTCGGTGGGAACTTGGAAAAAGGCTCAGTACCTTTGCCTTTCTGCTTTGTACGAGCTTGTGAGTTCATCAAAGAGCTTGCCATTCATTTCCATCAGGGTTTTCAGCACATTGTACACCAGTGCCACAATGGTTCTGAAACAGAAGGAGCACAGCCATAAGATTTACTAAGTGACAAAACTAACTTCAGAAAACAAGCATTTTATTTCTTTTTTGGATTCCAAGCTTCTTATTCAGGTTACTACTCTAAGGCCAGGGAGTTTTCTGAAACAAAATCCTCTCCATTTTATTAATTTACAGAGGAAATTATAGTATAGTTAAACATTTTTTGAAATGGCTATTTAATCTTAAATTCCTGACTTCTGTAATTGCACAGGATATAATTATTCATGCTGTGGCTGTACTTTAAAGCCATTCAATTATGTGAACCTTTAATAAACCAAGTTTTAACAACAACTCTGTAATATTTGAGCAATGAAACATGAGAGTCTAGAAAAATAAAACTTCTGGCTTGTAGCTTCAAGAAGGCAGCAGACAAACCACAGGCTTAGTGTGGTTTAGCACAGCAAAGCTCTCCTAGCAGTGTTTCTGGGCAGCAGGAGTCTTGCTAAAGAACTAGAACCAAGAACATCAGATAATGGATTTGGGTACCTCAGTTTCCTTAAGAAACTCACCAGTTTGAGCAATGCTGGCTGTGTGTTACATGGCTGCCTGTATTCCTGCACTACCCTTCTTTATGTGAAAGTATTCATATTTCAACAAACCATCTTAAACATTGTGTTATCTCCTTTAAACCTACTCATCTTTATACAAATAAATAAAAAACCCATGAAAACAAACAATAAAATGCCTATCATTAAGCTTAATCAATAAGCAAAAAGCAGGTAAACTGTCTTTTCTGTCTTCTCCCTCGCTAGCAGCTCCCCACTGACTGCAAAGCTGTGACCTTGAAAAAGGAGTCAAAAAAAACCCTAAGGAAATAACCAAAGAACCAGTTTTGCCTTTTGAGTGCACTCTGTCCACCATGGCACTAAGGAATCTCCCAGCTGTTCCTGAGAACCTTGTGCTCATTCCATTCAAAATGCACAGCATCCTTTGCCTGTTTATACACTTATTTTTTTTAAAATTTGATTTTTTTTTTACACCCTGGCTTTCATGTGGTTTGAGGTCAAAACCTTATTTAAGGTTTTGGTTTTCAGAGAGGAAAAGTTGGATTCTGAGCAAGAAGTTGAGTCCGTATCAGACAACCAGATGGATAAAAGCATGTTTTACTGCCCTCCAAAACAGATTAGAATCAAAGGATTAGACTTTCTTCTCCAAACTTCCTTGTCCTCAAGTAGGCAATTATCCTGTGTCTTTTACTTCCTTCATAAAGAGCAACTTCTGCCTGCACAGAGGAAAGAGGGACATCCTCCAAATTTGCTGAGGTCTCAAATACAGTGATGGTCCAAGGACTATTCCCCAAAGTTTATATCCTGTCTTGGCTGCTACATTTGCAACTAGACACACCATCTACATAAACCCAGAATAATTGCAAAGCCTCCAAAGGCTTAAAACAGGACATCTCGTTTACTGCAGGGTTATGAGGCTCCTGCTCACCCTGGCTTTTGCCTGTACAAGCTTTATATTCTGCATACTAACTTGCAATTTAATTCAGAGTACTGGCACCAGCAAGCTTTGCTTTTCAGTATTTAAATACCATTACTGCTTTTTCAAACACAGGAATACCAGTATTTCACTTGTGGCACTAAATAGAAAGTGAAGTAGTCACTCATTTCTCAGTCCTACCATCCTTTATAAGGGTTGCTATTCTCTGACAGGATCTTTTCCTCTTCTTATCTCACTGATCAGCAATAAACACTTATGAAGGCACAGACAGCTGTATTCATCTCAAGTATTAAAGGACAGCAAAGCATAAACAGAACCTTGGAAATGGTTTTGGCCTAAGTAGCATTAATTTCCATTTTGAACTAACACAAAGGATCAGATGTGATTACAATACAAAGATCATCATCCAATTTCCTCACACTTTTTCAATAAATTTCAGGTCTCCATCGTAACAGTGCAGAACAGTGAAAGGACAACACAGCTGAAAGCGACACTTGATTTCCAGAATGTCATGGATTTCATCTGATTTAAGTAAAAATGAAGTCACATTTATAAGCCCCTAATCCAAGCCTGAAACAGTGGACAGTTTATTTATGGTGCTACAGATAAAGTGAAGCATTACATACGGATTCCAGTGTTCTTTGGAGATCTTGTACAAACTGCCAAACATAATTGGCAGAATTTTATCAATGTTCTCCTCAATCAGGCTAAGAATGTATTCGTTATTCCAGAAGTACAAAGCTCTTTCTGCAACCTGAAACACAAAGTTAAGGGTTTATAACATCCTTAAAATAAGTTACCACAAGGTTTGCTTGGGGTTTTTTGATACTTATTTTATTTACCTGAAAATGTGAACTTGACACACTCTTGGATATTTGCTTAAATAAAGGCTCTTCTATTTTTTTGAACTGTGTTGGTTCTATAACATCTAAGATTTCTTCAATTTCACCTAAAAACATGACCTGTTTGTTTAGAAAGGAAAAAATGAATGAGAGTGTTTCATATCACCACCGTAAACAGAAGCAAACGAAATACAGCTAATACATTAGTCATGAATCCTGCAAAGAACACTGTTTGTCATTACAAAGCATTTAGACATACACAGGGCTTTTGCAGCCTAAAAGAAGTCAATCATCACCCTCAGCTAACAGGTTACAGCTCTCCTCTTGGACTTCTTTTGTGTGAATACTGAATACTTCATCAAACTGTTTCTCCAGAAAATGGGGTTTTACAGTTAAAAAGAAAAATAGGGCATCTTATTTCAAGAATGGTTGCAGAGATTATCAGATATCACCAAAGTAGCTTTTGAAGTGATAAGTAGTTAATTCCCATATAAAATTGCAACCAGCAGAACTCTGTGCAGTGAAAAATTTATCACCACTTGCAGAAAAAGAGACAACGGTGTTAAGGGACCCACTTTTAAAGAGCTACTGGGGATGGAATCTGGTGGGATAAATCAAACTCCTGGTTTTCAAACTAATTTTTAACCACATAGAAGAAACCAGACTGCATCACATGACAAAGGTGAGTGCCTCAAGAAGCTTCAAGAACTGCAAGTTTTCTGCAAGATCTCTTTAACAGCACAGCAGAGAGAAGGTTTGTGAATCTGCCCCACGAGATTTTACATCACAGCAGACACCAGAAATGAGACACAAAACCAACCTCTTTCTGACTGCATGTTTTTGGCCAAAATTTGAGCAGTCCTCTGATTACCTGTGTGAAAAATACAAACAAGTTAAAACAAGACAAGTTTCTATTAAACACTTGATATAAAAAAAAAAAAAAAAGTAGTACTGGTTTGCTTTTCCTTATCCACTAAACACTTGATATAAAAAAAAAGTAGTACTGGTTTGCTTTTCCTTATCCAGAGGTTCAACGAAAACTGAATAAACATTCATTTAAATATTTGTCTCATTTAGGTTATCAGAGTAACTCGGACCCCTATTGCTTTGTGTGCCTGTGATTATCCATTCACACTCTGCTGATCACATCAAAGCGTCACAAAGTGAAGTTAACCCCCCTGTAGCTAAATTTCAAAGAATATTTTTTGTCTTCTACTCATCCATACTTCAGGGAGCACCTGCCTTGGCATCAAAGGTTTGAAGCCTGAGAGGAAACAATAAATGCTGACAGGGCTCTACAGAGGAGCCATGGCCTCCCACTCTTCCTTTTCTCTGCTACAATTTGACATATTAGATTGGAAACTCAAGTAAGAAAGATGTGAACTTACAGAGAAAATGTGTTCTAATATCTACATTTGAAACTAGCTTACACAAGACTGGAAAAACAAAACCTTTGGGAAAATTAATTGGAAAGTACAGCCCCCAAGAGGAATGGAGGGAATACAGCAAAGAAAGGCTGGAGGCATTTTTCCTAGAAATAAACATCTCACATGGCATCTAAATTACAAAATGAATTCTGGCTTTAAAAAAAGGACACAAAAAAACCCTGCAACTATGCTCCAGAAGCAGAAACATTCTCAGAGTGTTATAAACTTCCATTCTGAAGAAAGGACCTCTACTTTTCATGATACAACAGCACCTAACTGATCATATCTAAAGGAAAAACTTACTCAATTATTTTAATACCTTCCACATTTGCTTTTTGTCATGTTGATTTTTTTCCTTCAGCTTTCCAGCTGGCTGCTTTATTAACAACTACATGTACTATCAAAAGCATCTTTCCAGAGAAAAAAGTTAGTAAGACTAAAGTGCACTTCCTAGCACAAATTACTGCAAGAATTTTTAAATATACATTGCTAGAGAAGAGACCCATATTCTCAACTTGATAAAGAAGTAACATGTTCTGAGTATAACAGTGCACACCTCAACAAGATACGTATTCCCTGTTCCTCCTTGATGGAGTATCAGTTTCCAGCTTGACTGTGCCTTTATATTAAAAAGCTGACACCTACACATTTATGTTCATGGACTGCTGCTTTTACTACACAGATTAAGATTCTTCCCTGAGCTACAGGATTCCCATGAAGTGGGTTACAACTGTAGGCACCTACTGGAAAACTTAACTCACGTACAAGGACTGCACATTTAGCCTGATTTCTTCCATGTAAAGGCCATTGCACTCAACAGGGTTAGGTAACAAACTCCTCTTGTCAGCTCTGCAAACATCAGGACTGACCTGAGGCAGACTACCATAGCTACAAGAGCTCGGATTGAATGTCCTCCAAATTGACCCTGAGTGACAATCCCCGCCAGAAAAATAACAGTAAGGTATGTGTGAAGACAGCCTTCTGATGGAGTTCTTAAAATATTACTTGACCTAAAGCCAAGAAAAATTTCCAATGCAATCTCATCAGTTGACCCAAATTTTAACATTTACTTTTCAAGCATTTCAGAAAGTTTCTTAAAGCTTCACTTCTTATCTTAAACTTTATTTCCTTTATAAAACAACTTTTACTACACACTAGAGTAACAACCAAAGCAAACACAGGTAGTGACTCTGTACTGAGTTCCTGTGTCTTCTCCAGCCTGAACTCACCTTTAACTGATTAAGAAGCAACCCCAACTGTACAGACCACAATCCAAATGAGCCTCAGAACTGCACTGTGGCACTGCTCTAAAGCCCTGCCTTGTTCTCAGCAGTTTGGGCTTGGATCCTGCACCACACTCCTGTAAATTTGTGTCAGGAAGTTGTGACCTTGTCACTTCATTCAATCTTGCAGGTTTTTATGCAACACTACATGTTCTGCTCACATCTCAGCTTTAACTGTCAAAATGCCTGGGCTGTTTCTTCACTTGGCTTAAGGAACATGGGTTACACAAAGCTCACATCTCAGCTTTAACTGTCAAATTAACAGCCTGGGCTGTTTCTTCACTTGGCTTAAGGAACATGGGTTACACAATTCCTTTCTCCTCACCCTATCTCACAAAATAAGCTAATTGACCAGTGTGGCCAGGAACACTGCAGCACAGGGGGAAAGATGCTTCAAGCACACAGGGCAAATCCATAGACACCCTCCACCAGCTACAAAATAACTGGTCAGCTGAAATGGCTGTGCAGAAAACAAGCTTCCTGAAAGGGCACTCAGTGAAGATCAATGTTATTTTCTCAAAGCTGTTTGTCTTTTTTTTATAGAAGAAAATTTAGGTCTTGCATAAGCTCCTAATTTTTCAGTCACAAAAGGGGTGAAGTATTTAAATACCAGCATAGCCCTAATCAAGATATTCCTGATTGTCCAACTAAAACCAGTGTCTTTTATAGCTGGCCTGACATCACTCTGTGTCCTCACGAGCTGCTGCTGAGCCTCTGTTCTTCATGGGCCCTGCCAAAGCCTGTGCATAAACTCTTTCTAGCTGAGCTGTCAACATGTATCATGGGAGACTCAGTCTGGCAAAAGCCACACATGCCTGAATCACCTGAGTTTTGACTGCCAAGAGGCAGCCCAGAAACTGAAGAGGACAGACAGAAACACCACATTTGGAATTTCAGAGTTCTTTCTGTCTAAATGAGGTGTTGTTATTCTTTTCAACTTTTATTTCAGGATTGTTTATTCCCTAAAATATTTCAACTTCATGCAACGGCTAAGCACATGCAATTGTACCAAAACCACTGAAATTTTAGTTTTTATGAGGAGAGAATACAGTCATGACATGCTTTCTCATTTAGGGTAGTTTGGTTGATACCAGAAGTTCAAACTTATAGTTAAATCTGTGCTCTATCTTGGCCACAAGTTAAGAGATAAGTGCCCTTGCAAACTCAGAATTTTCTTAGCTATTCTAATTTCATTTCTACCCCCCGAAAAAATCCTACCTCTCCATCTTTAATCAGGATAATGCAGCACTGCTGCACAGTTTAACAGGTTACCCTGCAATATTTAATTGAAATTAAAAAATAGAAAGACATCCAACTGAAAAACACTTACAGGCTCTGTTAAAGTTGTATCTTTTTCCAGGAACTGTACGACACAATAGGCAAGCTGGAATGTAAGTCATATGGTTATTTAGTTTAAGCAGACAGTGTTTGGACATTGCAGCATTACTAAATATCACAACTTCTAATGGAAGCACTTCAGATCATGAAGGGGGAACCCAACCCAAGACACCCCTACACAGCCATTTCGTATTAGTCCAAACTAAACAAAACAGCAATTAAAGCAGCAAGGCCTGCTCTATCTTAAAAAAACCTTCCTGCATACAAAAAATCATCTTTTCAACCTAGAAAATTATTTTCAAGCTTGGCAGATATCTCCCTAACTCAGATCCCATATCCAGACAGATTTTTCTGAACATCAACTCCTGTATTAACAATACAAAGCTATCACTTTCAAACATCTATACTGGGGTAAAAAAGGCCATACTTCCAGTAAAAACCAAGTTGTAACACAGGTTTGACTGAGCACACATTGCACATTGCTCAGGTGACATCTACAGCACACAACATTCAGTGGTAAGATTACAAGTGAAAGAATTTGAACGTATTCCAAGGCCACAAGAGATGAGGCAGCTGCTGCCCAGCTGAGTATCCTGTTCCAATGCAGCCATGGCCAACAAGTGCCTGCGGAAAGGTGGAAGAAGTGGGGAAGCAGAATGGAACTAAGTCACCAGCCCTGCTCTCCCAGCCTCTCCTGGTTTTTGTGTAGTGCCTGCTCAGGCCAAGGATATTTAATGTTATATAATTACTTAGAGTTTAGTTACTGAGCACATCACTGATTAAGTAAACAACCATCCCATGCAGAAACCATACAATAATGCTGTTACTGAACTAGTTATACTCTTTTTTAGATTCCATTAAGACTCATTTTAAAAAGTCACAGAATATCACAATATAAAGCAAAGACAAAAATTACGTAATAGGTATTACATTTCAATACTCAGGATGCTTGAATTTAAGCACCATCTTTTTGGGTGGTTTTGTTTTTTTTGGTTTTTTTTTTGGGTTTTTTTTTTGTTTTGTTGGGGTTTTTTTGTTTGTTTGGTTTTTTTTACTGTTTTATGCCAAAGCAGATAATTACAATGCTGTAATTGCAACAGGTCTAATTTATTTATTTTGCTCTTAGGCTACTGATGCATTTGTATAGATTCAAAAAATAACAAATGTCACACATTAATCTCACAAATCCCATCATTTGCGTATATTCAGTACAGTAAAGCTTTACTGTTCAAAGACACAAAGACTCAAGCTTACTTCATCTTTAAGGCTGGCTTTAACTTTGAAGGGTAGGCTGTATTTTACTCAGCAACAAAGCAGCCAGGCCACTTGGGATTGCAAAGCAGATTTAGCACTGGCTTAGGCCTTTGGGATAAAATGAAGCACACAGTGCTGTGTGTGCACCTGGCACCAGTGTTTTATGAAGGGACAGAAGAGTGGCCTGGTCAGCAAGAAAAATGTGACTTTCAGGTACAGCTGAATTAATAGGGTCCTTTCAGTAGCCATGAACTGGATTAAATGTATCCCAGAAAAAAAGGGCAGCTTGCTGTACTGACCTGTCAGTGAGAACACCTTTGGGAGGTGACTGGGCCCTTTCATTTCACTGACTCATTTCATGAAGCAGCAAGGCAATAAACCCCAACGACAAGTGATTTGCTTAATTTAAAACTTCATATGAGAATTAGGAATTAAGTGAGCTCTTCACTTGATCCTGTTTGTAGACTATACAGTCACAACGATTTCACTTTCATTTACAAGAAATCTATTTTCTTGTATCTTCAGTCTGTATGGAGCTGTATTAGTGAGCTAAATTACAAAGCAAGTTTTAATTAGCCACAGCAGAATTACTTCCAAGTTTGCATCAACCATATTCAATACTTGTAGTGCCATATGTCTTGAAAGGACACAGATTATTCCTCAAACGAAATGCTGAATGTCTGTGGCAAGTATAAGAATCAAAGTCAGCTGAAGAACTGCAGCATTCTGACAGCATGTCATGGATCTACACAGTTCCTGGCTGATCCAGAGAGCTACTGTGCATTTCTGCTATTTATAAATGGCAACAACATTCTCCCTCCCACCCCATCACTGGTGCAGCTTTAGGAAGAAAAAAAACACTTCTGAAATAAATACCTGGCCATACCCAAGGTTCCTTTACGCACAGCATTTAAGTCACATAAAGGAAATGACAACAGCACAAGGCCCTGGGATTAAATGAAGTTTAAAGTGTGACAAGACTACAAGCAAAAAAGCTTCCAACTTCAGCTGATACGTCTTTGATTCACTGGTACATTCTTTCACTTGTAATATATGCCAAACATTATCTCAAAATTAACATTTAGGTATAAGATCTGGAAGACTTTTAGAAAAAGTGACTGAATTTGCAAATATTTTGGAATATTGATATTATAACATAGTGCTTTAAATTTCATTAGTTTCAAATGTAAATACAAAAAACCCCACCACTCTTAAAAATAGGCAAAAGCTTACCTGTGCATGAAACAAAGCTAATCCCTTTGCAGTATGCATGGGAATCAGAACTTTCATAAGGAACTGTTTGTGTTCTGCTTTCAGTGGCAGTGCAAAACCATTGATAATACTGAAAACATGAATAAGCAGGATTTATTTTTATTAAAAAAAAATTTTTCCTAGCAAGTCAAGAATTTCTGTAAGTTCAACTGAAATTCCATTTCTGATTCAGTTTTTAAACCTGATTATTTTGAAGCCATACAATAGCTCTACATGTGCACAACCTTTAAAATTAGAGTTTAGACTGTTAGTAAGGAATACCAGAGAACCACACTAGAAGCTAAATAATACCCATTAGATGAGCTGAAGTATTTTTATCATGACTTCCATTAAATAAAATCATCTACAGTAAGTCCTGTTGCCTAATTGTAAAGCTTAGACAGATATATCAGGAAGCTGATCCATTTCACCCACCATCACTAGCAACTTGCAGAGAAAAAAGTTTATACAATTTTAACAGTGCACTTTAAACACATGTTTTGAGATTGTTGAACAACCTTTCCTTTCAAAAACAAAGTTTAGAAGTTGTCTCATTGATTCAGTCCTCTTATATTTAAGAGCTGATGACCTATAGACAAGACAGAAGTCCTTCAGGAAAAGGTTAGTTTCTTTTGCCCCTTACATTTTAGGCAAGTCTGAGAAAATAATGGGATCCCTATTACTTGATTTTTCATGAAAATTTGTTCCACAATAACTTCATCATATTTGTATTTTTAGTTAGACTAATAATACAATTTCCTACTGTGAAATGTGTGACAGTTTTGGAAAGGCTTTAAAAAATACCAGAGAAAAACTTCAAAGTTCAATTTAAGTTAATGAAATAACAACCAAAAAAAAAAGAAGTAACTAAAAACCCCTAGCAATTACAAGGCTTTCCTGAATAAAACTGAAGGAAAACCAGCCTGCTGAAGATGAAAACAATTCAGCACAAGGACAAAAGCTAACATTCATTTTCTGAATCAAAGAACAAGTCATCTATCAGGGAGAAGATAACCAAGAGCAGACAGGTCTGACAAACAAGAACCCTTGAGAAACATTTTTTGCCTGTCATCTTTAAAACTTGCACTGAAAAAAGAATAATTTATTCTGTGTCCTAATTTGATATTCATGTAGTAATCCAGACAGTATTAGATTATCAGTGACTGCAGTTCATCACTTGTTACTGTAATGATTCTCTTCCCCCCTCCATTCCCAAAGCAGAAAAGCTGAAGCAAACATTCACAATAATGTTTCGTATTTTTCCTGTGTCAGATCAAACTTACCTTCCTAATATCTCAAGAAGTTCAGCAACACCATTGAAGTGCTCTGTTTCATATATAAACCTGTTACCAAAAAAGACAACCATCAAAATTTGCCACAGAGGCTCACAGATTCCAAAGAAATAACTTTTACTAAGCTTCAAATATTTGAAAGCAAGATCACAGACCAAACACAGGTCTTTTACTTCAAGAACAAACCACTGCAGAGACCCAGACTGTGAAGGCAAGATAAAATATTCCTCAACCTAGTCACACACACACACACACACACAGCATACCTGAGGAAAATGTTGTTTATCTGTTTCCTGATGAATGCTCTTAAACCGAGGAACTTTCCATAAATTCTATGAAGAACTGTCTTTAGGAAATCACGTTCTCGTGGGTCTTCACTGTCAAAGAGCTCCAACAACTTTAAAAATTAAATTGAAATGTATTACTTTTGAAAGACTGATGGTTTTGTTACTACCTGATTTGAATTTTACCTTTAATTTACAAGTTTACATTAGGAAAAAAAATAGAATCAGTTTAACTGTACATTTTGTTTAGATGTCAATAGTAGACTTTCAAAATTATTTTTAATAATGTTGATTTTTTTCTAATGAGATCATCAGCTTCATTCTTTTCCTGTGTAGAACAGACACTGAAGTCATTCCAGTAACTATTATACCATCAAAATAAAAATGCAGCTGCAAACATGAGATTATCAGACTGTAGATAAGTGGTTTACACTTGTTACTTAAGAATGAATCAAATCCATATCCTGTATTTACAAGTTTGCAACTAAAATCCTTTACTGCTTATCTCAAAACTTGTGTCTTGATGGCCAAGCAAAAGCATTCCTACACAAGAAATTTTACAGTTAAGGAGGGGGTCACAGAATAAGCAAAAGATATGCAATTACTAACCAATTCCCTATTAATACAGACTAAATGCTGCAAGAAGCTAACAAAACTTTCCACACACTTTTTTCTTGTAGAAAGACTTCCAAGGATACAGAAAAGACCATGCTCACTCGGAGACATAAAAAAAATACTCCAGTCACATAACAGACCATAATTGTTGTTGTTTTTTTAACTCTGCATGGCCAAGCAACAGCATATTCAGAAATGTTAGCTGCCTTGAGCAAGTCATTAACAGCTCAAGCAGTCACCAGAGTCTCCTGCTCAGGTCTGAGCTTAGGTATGTCTATACCAAGCAGCACAAGGGACTGGAAACAGCTGTTCAGGAACTTGGTTCAGGCTCATTTCAATTTTATATTTAGCAGGAATTTCTCAGGGTCACTACTCCACGTTTTTTCCCATATATAGATAGCTGTTGGTTGCATTGTCTCTATCTTGTACTCTAGACAAAGATCAAGTGAAATGTCAGGAACAAACTCTGCAATGCTGCTCTCAAGGACCACAGGTCAATTTGTAAAGTGGACACCCATAGCCAACAGCTCACCAGCAGCCTCAGGCTTAAATTTTGTGTGTAAGTTGAATAAAACTGAGAAGGAAACACATATACAAGAACAGCAGAACCAATTAAGTGGAAATTAAATGACAGCAGGGAGGGAAAGCATCCACCTTGTAGTTTTACTTTTCCTTGCTGTATTGTGATGGCCTGCCAGCACTCACTCTTCGGATACTGAGCAAACAAGTATTTTGACAAAATTTGGCAAACAAACATTTCAACACAGTGAAAAAATCCCCACTGAATTCACCTTGAACCAAAAATTGTTATTGCATTTCTACACTGTAATTCCCTTAGAAGTCATATCTAATATGAAATCTCACTTCATTTTCTTGCTCATAGTTGCTTTGCATGGTAAAGCATGACTTTCCTAAGTAATTTCTTACTTGATTTTCCTTCTGTGGTTAATACACAATAGTAAAGAGAATTACACTATCTAGACACAAGGAAGGAGGTGCTGAAACACATTTAATGTAAAATAAGTACATGAACTTTTTACGAGAAAAAAAGTTTGCTCTAAGTTTTTCCACTGTAAAAAAAAATTTAAAACAAACATAGGACTACAAAAATATAATTACCACATTGTTGATTTGGCTGGAATTAAATTACAAATCATGAAAAACTTTACAAATTCCAAATATCTTGCATTGCCAAGCACTGAGGTTGATATCTGAAAACAAAGTGTTCCTGAAGTTACTAAATACATATAGCCCCTGTGGTATGATGTGCTGTTTATTTAGTGTTTGGCACTAAACCACTGCTGCAACAACTGAAATTTACCCCGTGTCAGCAGGAAAGCTTTAAGAGTCCATCTGATAAATTAAGCTCAAGAGGTGATCTTTAAATCCCACTTGCAACTTTAACACTCGCCTCTTACCTGCTGCACAAATCTCTGGTCAATGTATCGCTTCGCAATGCTGGGCTGAAAATCCGGGCTCTCCAAAAACCTCAGGAAAAACTCATACACCAACTACAAACAAGGAAATGAAAATTCTGAAGCTAGTAAGTACACCATAACACAGATCTCAGCCTTGTCACCACCAACAAAGGCAGTGGGACTATTTACATGCTCAAAAAGTACAAAAGCAATCAAAGCCTAACACATCACTGCTTAACCACAGTTCCAGCTGGAATTTACTGAAATAATTACAGTAAGTACCGAGAACACTTTAATTCCCAGAAGAGTCAAAGCTTAATAAATAATCTCCTGAAAATACCACTAGTGGACAAAAAACAAGTTCTAAATGTTACATTCCTGCCACGTTAAGACATATCACGCAGAAATAGGTTACCAAACATTGAGCAGCGCTGAGAGTTAAATTAAGTGCTCTAACATTACATAATTCCTGAAAGAGATGAAGCAACATCTACTAAGTGTAGCTGAAATTAAGTTTTGACCACAAGCTCTGAAAATGAGAAGTTGTATTAAAACAGCTGAATGAATTCACAGAAACTGAAAGAGTTCAGATGAAAATTAGGCTTCTATATCACGGAAACTCAGTTATAATATCCATTATGGCTTGTAGCACATTATTTCTTCCTAGTTGAAATTCCTATTTGCTACAATCCCACAATGCCCAGAGATAAAAATCCTGACAAGAGGTAGAGCTACCAAAGGCCTGGGCCAGCAGAGTGGCATGAAGAGGCCAGAGCACAAGTCCCATATTTTGGGGTTCATCAGAAGTCCAAGACAAAACATTGCACTTGCGTAACAATGGCAGATTAATAAAGGACACAGAAGGCACCTCTTCACTAGAACAGAACTGAGAGGAAGGATGCCTTATGTTTAGATTACATTAAGAGTTGTTCATGTTCTCAATGCCTATTTCATAACTCCACATAATTAAACAGCTGATTAGTAATAACACTACAATGCAATTTAGGTACATAATACCATCACTGACTGGGCTTCTAAATAAAACCCATGCAGAGCCGTGCTCATACTCAAAGGCATGAATTTCAACTATTACCACTCTGAGTACTTAACTGAGAGCCAACACCTGAGTAATTCATAATTATAATTAGGAACCTCACTTCAGAAAAATGCATGACAGTAAGTACTTTTATGTAGAACATTTGAGCTGACAGTTACTTATCCATAGCCTCAAGGAGGGTGTTCTGTACGTGCACAGCAGAGGCTCAGAAACTCAAGCTACCCTTCGCTTTGTCCCCCTGCAACAGACTGTAAGAACAGCTTTTCATATCAGCAGTTTATGTAGAATAACAGGATTGTTAGGGCTGGGAGGTGTAGCAGGCCCAGGGCCTGCAAGGCCTCCTTGGAGGTCAGAAGCCTGAGCTAGGAAATGCCAAGTCACGATGACTCGGGCCTTAGAAGCCCCTCTCTGCCGCCTTTCGGACCCTGCTTATCTCTCTGTAAGCCTATAGGTCACTTTCCCCTGGCCCTTTCTATTGTACAGTTTCCAAAACCCCTGTAGGGTATAAAAACCCCTAATTCTGCCTGGTTCACCAGAAGAGCTGTCACTGAGACCCTTAGTCGGACACCCTAATAAAGAATCCTGCGGAACCTTACACAGCGCTTCTCCTCTCTCTCCCTGCATCTGCTGCAGCGGCACCAGCAAGCTAAAGAGCAGAAATCACAAAGAGCTGACAATCACTAAGAGCCAGAAATCACTTAAGCTTGCTTGGCTGCCTGCAGCTGGGAACTGCTTGGGAATTCGGCCGCTGTGCTGAGCCCACTGAGCTATCCTGGCCACGGCAGCCCACCTGGCATAGCCCAGCTGAAAACTGCCACGATAGGGAGGGATCTCTGGAAATCATCTAGTCCAACCCCCTGCCAAGGCAGGGTCATCTAGAGCAGGTGACAGAGGAACAGGCGGGGTTTGAATGTCTCCAGAGAAACAGACTCCGTGACCTTCCTAGGCAGCCTGAACCAGTGCTCTGCCACCCTCAGGGTCAAGTTCCTCATGTGTTTCAGCATATGGCCATTTCTCCTTGTCCTTCACTGGCACCATCCTCTTGGCACCATAACAGACAACCCAAGAGCAGAATTTTTCATGTTGCCATACTCCAGCCTCTGCCTTAGAAAGTGCACAACCATGGCTGTTTAATACCTCCACCAGTGACACAGCCAGTGGAACTGAGGGCACCCTCAGCATGTTTGCAGGTAACACCAACCTGAGCAAGTGCCTTCAGCAACCTCATCTTGTGTAAGATGTCTCTTCTCATGGCAGGGGGCTTGGACTAAGGTGATTTTCAAAGGTCTCTTCCAACCCCAACCCAAAACATTCACATTCTCCTGATCTTTTTCAAACTAGCAACTAGATAAATCTGTATAGAAATGCGCAACATATGGCCAGAGGGAGGTTATATAGCACAGCTTCATAGGGATTAATTTGGAACTTAATTCAAGATTTCTGTAATAAATTCCTAGATTAAATATTTCTGTCAGTGACAACAACAAAGAACAGCCACGTGTGATAACTGCCACAATACTAGAAGCTACCACCAGCGGGGAAAATAGAAAATAAAATATATGTCATGTTACCCACAAGAAAGGATAAGTTGACTCTGAAGCACTAGAAGAATAAACACAGGATTAAATTCAAAGATTGCAAAGTCACAGTTGGAGTTCCAAGAAAAAGCTTTGCAAAGCATTTGCAAGCCCTTAAGCTGAGAAAAGGTTAACCATAGGATGATTCAGATCCATCCTCACACTGAAGCTATGGAAGTGACAGATGAAATCCTAGGATATTCCAGGAAGATACTGACAGCACAGACAGAGATGCACAGACCTACATGTGCTTGAGGAAATTTATTAAAACCTGAAAGGATACAGAGAAAGCCACCAGAATTGTCACAGGACACTTTCTAAGAGTCAACATTAAATTGGCATACTTTGTTTTCCCAAAAGGACAGGGAAGAAAGGATAATTATGGCTTTTTTCCATAAACAGATACAGTGACTGCAATAGACATCAAACACATGAACTAAGTGAAAAGCACAATGCTGCAACATCTTGTAACAAGCTGTCTGAGATTAAATTCAGGATATCAACTGGGTATGGTATCAAATAACTTTGGAAATCCTTGTGAGCCTTGGGAGACACATGAAAGCCTCTTTATCCAGGGCATTTCAGGAATCAAATTGCAGTGGTCATTTCTCACTTCTCCTGTATGCTAATGTTTGCAAACGTAAAAGGAGAACAATAACAACCAAACCAGGGGCACCAGAACAGATCCTACCTAAAGAGACAGGCATGCTCAGCTTTCTTGAGTCTAACAGAAACATTACTTTTGGAAATACTAAATCAGGGGAAAGATGTTGCATTTAGTATTTTTTGTTCTCAATACTGGTCTGCTTGGGTCAAAAAGCAATGAAATACAACTCCTAATGCTTTAGTGATTCAGTCTTGCAGGAACCACTAGAATATTGTTGCTTTTAAGTACCAATTCCACCAACTCTGCAACTCCCTAAGCTTCAAAACGCACAGTGGCTTTAAATGCCAGCCTGTTCAACCTACTTTGGCTGTTACAAATAATCTTGAACACTGCTTTAAAGCAACATCTTTCTAGTGCCATTCGTTTTACTGAAGGTCTGGAGTCTTTCGTTGTGGCTACACACACTGGTAACTTACTAAGTAATCATGTCAACAGATTCAAGCAGAGAAGAGTAGAGGTTCAGATTTTTTTTTTCTTTCCTCTCTCAGAAAACTGGCTACCTGACTGCCAGATCAGGATAGAATTTGGAATTTGTTTATAATTGATCTGTCACAAATCACAGCCACCAAAACATCCACACCTTCCCTCCTTAAGCAGCCCTTTAGACTATGCCAGAAATAATAGTGTATTTTGCTGGGGAGGAGAATGGCTGTGTACAGATTTTATTCCACACACAAAATCTGACATTTCCAGCAGCTTTGTGCTCCTGAAGGGCAATGAGCAAATTATTAGTCTTCTATGGTCCAGTAGCACATCAGCTGTAAAAGGACAGAGTGGGAAACACAAACTGTTTCTACTGTGCTGCAAGGAGTGATCTATTCCAAGGACAGGATGAACAACAGACATGGGAGAGGGAAATCCACAACCAGTGACCAGACAGCCTGGCAAAAACTCCCTTAGAAAACAGCAAGGAAGAAACCTGAAAATACAATGTCAAATAACACCACACGCTACAAACCTCTTTCACTTCCTCTCAGGCAAGCCTAAGGCACAAGTGAACTGATCACAGAATCCACAGACCTTTTTCTGTGAACAGGACTAGAGTTTAATTATGACCTAAAGTGAACTGAGGTAACATTTACAAATTTTACCTCTGAGACACAGGTATTTAGAAGTCAGATGGTGCTGCTTACAAGAGACATTTGCTTAGCTCTTGCACCCTCCCACCCAACAAAGACAAGTCTCTTATCTAGTTCAGTTATAGCCATTTCTCCTATGAATTAGAACTGGTTATATGTAAGGCAATAATTATCACAGCCTTTAACCTGCAGAGTTATTTTTTGTGGTAACTTAATTCTTGTTTGATTTAAGTCTGAAATACTATGCTGAATAGGTACATTTTAGAGTCAGTATTAGAAGTGCAGTTTTTAAATAAGAGCATTTGTGGATGCATTAGCACTGTAATACCATAGGGGCAGAGTAGCATCTTAGCTCTTGAGAGAAGAGAGCAAATGGTATGCAGATGTGCAGCAGCTTAATCTACCCACTGCTAGGAGTTGCTACTCCACTTTGTTCAACAGATACTACTTACATAAATTCAGCAATGAACTACCTGAGATATGTGCTTGGACATTTACAGCTTCTAAGAGTTAACTGAAAATAAAATAAAATTCAGCAGCATTTCAAGTCAATCACGCGATGGATACAGCAGCACTATAAAAATCACGAGATGGCCACAGAAGTGCAACAATGGAATAACCATGCAACTGTTACCAAACAACGCTGATATTGTCAAGTTTTGGCATGAAGGGAGGCAAGAGGGTGGGGAAGAAGGAGGGGATTTCTATTTGCTCAAAGGACAAATAAAGGCTATTACTCCATTTTTTGTTATTGCCATGAGAAGACAGAACTGTTAATATTAACTTATATTTTATTGAAGCAACACTAAGAAGTTGCTCAATTGCAGAAAACAAACCTCTTAGGTGAAGAGCATAATTACCTAAAATATCGACAGTTTTAAGACATACATACACCACAATTTAACAGTCCAATCCCTCAGTTTAAAAAATAGTATTTAAGCCACTTAGAAGAGTTACATTCAGCCATATTCATACATACTAAAAAAAGCACCACTTTTTCTTCCCTCTCAAGTATAAAAACTCAATTGTATTATAAAAGCAATTTTCTTGTTCTTAACAAAGGCACAAAATAACTGAAGTACCTACATTTCTTGCCTTACAAGAAGGCTTAGAAGTAAAGGAATCACATACCTGTATGTGGGGCCATGAGGCTTCAAGAGTTGGTTCATCTTCTTCTGGATCAAAATCTGGGTTATCACTAGGTGGAAGTGTTCTGAAAATATTAGAACTAATCTGCAAGCAAAAAAAAAAAAAAGAACTTGTATCACTGTCTATGCTTTCACAGATCACACTCATTAAGGTACTGCATTTATCCTGAAATCAAATGAAACAAAACCATGTAAAAAACGTAACATAAGAAGCCACTACCTCATTTTTTCAAAACTGCAAAATACAAACAGACAGAAGTCTGTAAGATGTCAGTGAAAATAAGAAAGTAACTTTTGTCTCAACTGCTTTACAAGCCTGGAGCAAGACATGGTCCTATTCCAGAATCCTCCCTAAAACTATGGAAGTTAAAAAAAATCAGCCTCCCTATCAAAAATAATTTTTTAACTACATGATACCAAGAGCTGTTTTTATGTAAGACCACAAATACAACAAAACTAATCAATTACAATTTAAACAGAGCTCTCTCCACATAAGAGAGCATGTCTGTCATGTAAGGCAGACAATCCCAAAAATGTACCTTATTTCTACAGTTCTTTACTTGATTTCAAGATATTTCTGTTTACATTTTTCACCTTTGAATATGTTTCAAGGGTTTGGAAAGTTAGAAACACATAACCATTCTAGCGTTTCCATTTCACATAGTACCTATTTTTTCTTAAAGTTACTCTAGGTTACATTTAGTCACATCAAATCAATTTCAAAAGGACAAGTTTAATAAGGTTTCTTCAAGGATTTTTGAAGTATATTGAAGTATGGATAGAAGACCACTCAGATGTCAAAGGCAAAATGTCATCTCTTGCACCAGATAGCACGTACTGGATTTAAATCTCTAACACAAACAAAAGAGAACATGCAGTTCAGTTCATTTCTGCATTTTCCACCGTTCTTTCAGGAACAAGTTTAACCTGACTTTTCCAATCACCTTTTTAACTCTTTTAGACTTTTTGATCAAATCTGTTTCAAGTAGCTGCTTATCACCCAAGCCTACTAAGCACAAAAGAAACTGTCAGTTTGCAGAAAATCCTCCTGCACATATTCCAAGGAGTCTCCGAGGTGTTTGGAGAATCTAGCAAAAGGACTTTAGAAAGTTCCTTTAGAAGTCACCCAGCTGGCTGTGCACATAATGATCAGCTGCCTCATTAAACAAGATACACAGCTATTGCATAAACTGACTTTCCATTTCCTCCTATGCCCTTTGCTCTGTGTCGTGTCACTGTCTCCTGTTGGGACACAGCGCTGTTGTCCTGGACTGGAAGGGCAACTAAGTTCTGTGGGGATGGGTTCAGCTATCTCTGAGTTTAATGCACAGGAAAAACTACAAAAAAAAAAAAAACAAACAAAAAAAAACAAAAAAAACAAAAAAACAAAAAAAAAAACAAAACAAAACAAAACAAAAAAAAAAAAAAAAAACAAAAAAAAACCACTCAAACAAACAAACATTCCCACAAAAAACAGTTGTCCTTTAATGCTGTAAACACAAGGGACTTGGGATTCCAAAGCTCAGGAACAAAAGACTGGTGGGGGAGAGGAAGGGGAAATAGGAGTCACACAGGGGAAATAGGAGAACATTAATTTTAATCAAGCTCAAAAACCAGCATTACAGTCCTGGTTCTCTTATTTGCTTTGTTTATTCTTACCAGGTATTCAATAAAGCCCTCCAGAACACGAATCAGTCTCCTACAGAGAATGTTCTATCACTGCTTGCAAGTGTTCTGGCAACTTCTCCTAAAAACACTTCTTTTTCTTTCTAGATGCACCTTGCTGAACTGAGCCAGTCAGCCTTTAGCACAGAACCTCAGAGTAGTGAGTAAGTTTCATGTCCAAAACACAGCTACTAAATACACTTGTGCAGCAGAAACATTAGCAAGCCTCTCAGCCAGGCCTTTGGAAAACCAACTGTATGATTTTCAGAATATTCAGTACTTCCACTAGCATTATTCATATCTCAAGAATACATAAAACTTCAAATAAATGTCTACCCCCCCATAAAACAGTTAATTTACTTTATTATGCTTGCAATACTTTAGCAAATTCTTCTCTACATCCTCTCATATTATTTAAAACATTATTTTTCTTTCCTAAGTGGTGCCTTATCCCAAAACTGTGATTTCAGAAACACAAATCATAAAAGATTTTTAAAGCTGGATAGATTTCCAGAGAAATCCAGCATCAGCTTTCTAAATTAAATCTCAAAGTTTTCCAAAAATTACACCAGAAAATGTGCCGGTTAGTACTGAGATAGAGCAATTATATTTTATGAAAACAAAAAATAAAAAAAGTTATTGTCTGTACATTTGATCTAAACATTTGAAAGATACTAGGTTCAATTCCAATTTCTGAGTGGTTTTTTTTTCAGTGCAGATTGAGCATAGCTGATATCTTTTAAATTCTGAATTCACAACTCTAGCAGCCTGTTAGGACAATCTCATTACATTAGATTTTATATGCTGCTGGGGAACAAGGTAAGGCTGATGGGCACAAGGAGATGAAGAGTTATGTATACTGAAGAGACATTTCTGTCATGTTCCCAAAACTGATACAAGGTAGAACTTTCTAATTTCCCAGGATTAAAACAGTCACAATGCCAAACCCTAATTTCCTTTTAGCCTCAGAGTGCTTTTAATTGAGAATTTCCAAACAGAAAAGACACTAGTTTTGGGTGACCCAGAGCTGTGCTACAACTTCAAAGCTATTTGTAAGCAAAACTCCTCCTCAGCTGAAGGAAAATCAGGTTGCCCAAAAAAGATAACCTACAGTGTGTCCTGCCAACAACAATTTAAACAAAGACTTTTTTAAATTATGTTGTTTTATCCTCAGTGGCTTGAAATGACACTGGTCATTTCAGGATCCAAGCAGAGCAGAGACAACCACAGGAGCCTGTGTGATACTTGGCTCAGGAGATATCCTGGCAACAGAGACCAGTGAAGGAAAAAATGCCAGACACCTCCTCACCTGCACGGAACTTGCCCATGCACTGGTCAGAAAGAACATTTTATTTCCCTTCCTGCTATCTTTAAGGCATTGTTGACTTTGCCTCCCCACAGCTCAGGCGACTCCAAGGAAACCTGTTTGAAACCTGAGGTTGTTTCCCCTGTGAGCTGCAGAGAAATTGTCCCAGGCCTAGGGAAAGACAAGGGGCTTTGGAAAGAAAGTGTTTCTGGTCTGCCACTGCTGCCACTCTGGCTTTTTTCAGGGAATTTTTTAGTCTGTCCTTTACTACCAGCCAGATTATAGCTGGATTTCATTAAGGCCATTTCTACTTTTTCATCCCCAAAACACACTTCAAACTCTGCAGTAAAACTCTTTTTTTTTTCTTTTAACATAGGAACACTGAACAGCCTAAAAACTTAAAACCCAAACAAAACAGAAATGAAACAATAACTCTTCAATCTCATACAAGTTTTGCTACCAAGAAAGGCCTCGAGCCTGACACAGGTGTTATGTGGAGGGAGAGACAGACCCATGCAGATTTTTTTTCTGAAAGCTGGTACTTCGTCCTAATTCACAGCAAAGGCCCTTTCTGCTGCCAGTTGCCAGGGAGATTAGAAATACTATTCAAGCTTGGAGGGATCTTTTGTCTCAAGCTCTCAAAAAGCTCTCACTGAGCATTTAAAGCTCTCACTGAGCTTCTTCTCTTTCTGTCATTTTAGGGGAAAAAGGAGATGGAAATTTGTTATGGAAGGAAAAACAAGCATCCACAGAATCCAATCATTTGCACAACAAAACAACCTCAAAAGAACAGCTCAATACCACCTTATCTCCAAGAAAAGAAAACAACCCAAATATAAAAGAAAACCTCCCTTCAACAAGTACTATGGGCTAGTTAGTATATTCTTTCTTCTACCAAGAGGCTACAGAGGGCACACAGAATGCGAAAATACTGCAAGGATTCAGGCTTGCTGCCACCAGCAGCAAGAAAAAAAAAAAGAAGCCTAAGAAGATGTGAACATACTTTATCTTTTATTTTCTTATATAGAAAACATTTAGGACAGAAAACCAGGTCCTTTAAAAAATGAGACTATACAAAACCCCCAAGTGTCATAGATTTTTTTGTAAAACTTAGTAAGCATCTGCTGAAACAGCTGAAATGATTAAAAGGGTTCCAATAATCCTAGCCCTTCAGTATAATGGTAAAACTTCCACAATGATTTATATTAAAGATCTAATCTTCCCTATCAACTGCCCAGGAAAAAAACCCCAGCCCAACAACAAAATGAACTGTAAGAAAAAACTAGCTTGCACTGTAGAGAACTACACAAGTTGCAGGCTGTGTATTTGAACTGCTCTGCTTATGCTCCTGAGAGCTCTTTTAAAGTCAGCATTTTATCTATGTAAACTTCACCAAAGTTTAGAGAACCACTAATGTAAATACATGGGCACTAAAGCCATTGTTTTTACATTTCACATTTCTAGGGGAAAAAAAAAATTAGATTATTCTCAAGTGTCTTTCAGCTGCATTCCCTATACATGTAGTATAGGCAGATCAAACAGATTACTTAAGTAGCATTTGAAAAGGCACATAAACACCTGGGAAAGTCTGCAGGTAACCACAAATATTTTGTTCATTATTCAACAAGCCATTAGCAGCAATTGCATGGGACAAGTCATCCTATGGTTTATAACTCCAGCAAACCACTTAGGCTGCTCTAGTACAGCTCTTCAAGGCAAAAATAATAACAAACAGCCATAAAAAGTATTTACAAAGTAGAGTTGCTTTCATATACTGATAAACCTTTCTGCTATCACCAGCACCTGCAGCAGTAACTACCAGAAAACTTTAGCCTAACTCTCCATTGCCACTGGTAAATAAAGACAGGCATTACTGAAATATTGCCATTTTCTGAAAGAGAACAACTTTAAAGCTTACCCAGACTGCAAGTAGCTGCAGTGTACTAGTTCTTTAACTTTAATTAATCTGAATGCATCATGCTTCAGCCAATAATTAAAACTTGCAAGTTGTTTGTTTTTACAAGCCTGTCTGAGCCAAGTTATCATTAACAAATTATATTACATTGTATAAGCAGAATAACCAACCACAATTCTGAGTTAAATGGCATCAGAGTCATAAACTGATTAAGATATTTTATTAAAATACAAACTACAAGAAGAGCATTCTACTTACCATTTTCACTATGTCAGCATAAGCTGATTCAACAATCACTCCACGATTTGTTGAAACATATTCAACCAGTTCATTCAGTGTTGCTCTCTTGATTTCTTTACTTTTCAGGTCTGAAACAGAGTCCATGAAGTCAAAGAGCACACAACACTGTTGCAACTTCTGACAAAAAAGATCCTGCTGTTCATTGAAGGTGGCATCTGTAAAAGAAAACAAAAAAAATCAAACACCTAAGTCTGTAGAAGCAAATACAGGATTTCTAAATATTTTGTTGACAAGTATTTGCATAGCTATGACTTGGGTTTGTTTTTTTTTAAATGGGGAAGAGTTGTGCTTCATAGCCAGCAAGCTAACAGCAAATTATTAAGCAATTTTGCCAAAATGAAAATATCTGTATGTCAGAATGAAACATCCACCATCCCAAACTTTTGGTACATGAAAGAAATAACGGACAAAGACATGGCAGTAAATTTATTTACCAGCAATGGGTTACTGCATTAACTTTATTTTAAATACATAAATATTAACAAGTCTCAGCTCTCCATCACCAAAAGTCATATCCAGAAGCAGTGCATCAAACTAACCTTTCATTCATCCGATTTGTCTCATTCTGTTCCCTAATCCTTTATTATGTAACCTGCTTAAAAGCTGTAAAATCTGCTTTGAAGGAACCTTGTCTTTTTACCCCAATGCAAAATGCTTCACATACTTTTGACATCATGTGATCAACGTTTCCCTGAAGAAAGAATTCCAATATTTCAAAAGGATTAATCCTGAATTTTAATGCCTTGGTCTAAATAATTTATGACAATCTTCGTCATGTAAGGGTTTTCCAGATTTTTTGGGCTATTAAGACAATGTGTTTGGCTGTGACTTAGCATTTTCATTTTAGCATTCAGTACCTCTGTAATCTGATAAGCAGAATTCCTCCATTAGCATTTCACATTTACTCTAAAAGAGATGGATTATCAAGCACTAACTACACTCTTCAAAAATTTAACACAACCTTAAGATGTTGTAACTGTTCCAAAGCTGCATGATCTTAACAATCATAAAAAAAAGTCATGGTTTTAACTGAAAATTTGGTTTAATATGTCTTTTGTTCTTGTTTTCAATTGTTTATAGGAGTTCAAAGCCACTGGACCAATACAGCATCACCTCCTCTATCAGCCAGTTGGTATTTCACTCACTTTGGTAAAAAAATAGCACTCCCAATTTTATCTCCAAATAAAGAATGCTCTCCCCTGAAGAATTTTCAAGACTGGTTACAGCCTGACTACATCCCTTAGCACCATTCATTCACTGCAGTATTGCTATGAACACTGCTGTTTCATCACCAAGAAGATTATCAAGACAAGAAAATGCAACTGAGTACTGAAAATCTTAAATCACACTTCAAAATCTGAAAAAATCATGGAAAATCTCATGCTTCTCTTTAATGATTTAGAATTATTCTAATTCAACAAACTTCATTAAGTTTATACCTTTAATGGTATAAATAAAGTATAAATATAATTATCAGTTCACTCTGATAATGCCTGTTTCTCAGGTTTCCTACCAAAGCACCTTTCATTTAGTGGCTGGAACAACAACAGTCAACAGCAGGTTTAATATTCAGTTTAATATTATATTTAATATAAGATATTAATATCTGCTAGAATTGCTTCATTTCCATGAGCAAAAAGTAATTGCTGAAATGGACCGGCACGCCTCCACTGTAACCCATGCTGCTCGCAGCGCCCTGGAAACTCAGGCACCAGAACACTGCACTGTGTTCCCTTTCCCCACCTGACAGGTACCATCCTATTAGCTGAGCAGAACAGCTTCAGGGAGCTTTTGAACGAGCCAGCAATTGCTACTCCCTCATGAAGAACGATTCACACTTCTGCATGTCAGTTCTGCCATTTGAACCGTTTTTCTTATGAAGAAAAAACCTTGCAAGATGCTTATTTCACTCAGATAACTACAAAGACACCAATTGTTACACTCTGCAAAATAACGAACATCAGCTGTAAAAACATTTGTAAGTTACGTAACATTTCAGCTCAGATCTTCTAATATTCTACAGTGGATGGCATGAGTAAGTATTGTATCATAGCAACAAAGCAATAACAGTGACATGCTGAGGATAAAATCCAAAAAAGCCGAATTTAAGGAACCGACACAGGGAGGGCAGCTTTTTTTGTTGCTAGCCCCAAGCTGACAGCCAGACTAACACAGGAACCAAGCCTACTCTTATTTTCCCTCACTACAAACTCAACTATAGTTCGAGTTACAAAGGTCCACAAGTGAGGCCCAGATAATATAATACAGTTAGCTGATGATAAAATTTTTTTTAAAAAATTAAAAATGTAGTATCACTAAGCAAAATTTACTTAGAAGTTTCAAAAACCAGCACGTGAATACTTCTAACCATGGCTCAAACAGACTAAAGATCTCAGGTTAAAAGTCAGTAACTGGAATTCATACAAAATAATTAAATCACTTATTACCTTCCTAGGATACCAAATAAATTCCTGCATTAGCCACTTATGGTTAGACATCAGAGTAAAAGGGAATCTTTCCCCTGCCATGCATCAGCAGTCCATTTCATTAGCAACCTGATCTCTCGCAACTGCACATGTTTCCTCAAATGAAAAACCCGTCCATTAACCTATTTTGTTACTATTAAAACATCTGAAGTAAAACCAAAGGAAGTATCTTCCTCTAAGCACACATCCTTTTTTTGGACTTGCAAGGGCAAACACAATTATTTTATCAACTTATCTCTAGTCGTCTGCAAGAGAGGAAAATTATGTGCAACCATGGCAAAAATAAAGCAACAAGAAAGCCAGTTCTATTCTATCAGCACAATCGGTCTTCACATGCTCAATCCCTGCTTGACACATGGCACATTTGTCTCAGGAATGTTATGAAAGGTACCATGGGAACCACCAAGTGATTGAGTAAAATTTGTTTGTCATATAGGGCTCTTAACTTTTCAAAGCCTTGCCTTTATGCCAGCACAGTGAAAGCTAGACAACTTTATACCACAACAAAATCATATCACAATAGTTTATTCTAGTTCTAGGAATAAAACAAACTGTGCCACCATAACTGCAAAAATACTGGAGATTTTCGCTTTAGTAGTTGAACAACCCACAGCATGATTTTTAAACAAGCTTCAATCTAATGTTCTATGAAGATTTACATCGTACATGTGAAGTGTTATTCTTCAAATACCCTAAATACCATAAAGACCACAGAAGATCAGTTAGGTTCCAAATAGACAGTGGATGTCTCAATGAAACAACCCTGAATCAAGCATAATGATGGGAAATCCTGAAGACAAAAATTTAACATCCAGCACCAAAAGAATTATTGCAACTTATGATCCGCTTTAATCATGACTTGCCTCTGGTCATTTCCATCATAGATAGTAGACAGCTTGTACCTGATTAAAATACTTAATTTGATTGTTGCACTTCATAATACTTAAATTCTCCTCAGACTACTTGTACTGTTTACAAACCCCCACTCATTACAGACAGTAGGCATGATAATAAAGGACAAAAAGTAACAAGCAATTTGACTTGGAAATTCTTCCTAAGCAGAAGTTTTAAAACATTGAAATTGCGTGACTGTACAGATTTGTCTCTAAATCGAATGCTTTCAGACTCATAAGGCCATCAATGCAAATCTAAGCATGGAATATTGAGTTAAGAGACTAATCTTTCTAGGACAGGCCCAAGCAAAATATGGAAAGAAAAAGAATTCCCAAGAGCTACCTCAATGGTACATAAATGGAGACAAAAACACACTACAATGATGTTTTCCTACAATGTATTTATCTCTTACGTTTACAAGCATTCCTCCTGGAAGAAAAAGAAAGATAATTTTCCTTTCTCAACACAATTGTTTATCCAAGACCTTGAGTACAAAGCCAGAGAACCTGACATAAGCCTTGATTCATCAGCAGAAACCAGACTCCAAATCCACAACAACTCTCTCAACAACACAAATGGCAAGTTCCAAATTCATAGTTTTCCTGCCAATACAAAATAAACCCCCTCAAACATTTGCAAACTTTTTCCATTTATTTTAAAGTCTCACTAACTAAATATTTCCACTTTTTCCTGAAGCAGCTACTCCAGGAAGATGCAAAAGCCAGAGAAACAACCAAGAAGCTTCTGTCTGACAGCCTCTTAAAGCAGTCCACTACATAGCCCTTTCAGGCACTTAGAGGATAACAATATTACAGAATAAAGTAACACCTATCTCCTTAGAACTTGGTGACAATTCTACATAATTCCTTGACTAACTGAATGCATGAAGAGGATCATGTCACAATTATGCTGCATTCCACAGTGCAAAGTTTAGGATTTAGTCTCTGCTGCCTGGTTACACTTACTGCACTGTATTCAGCTCAGTGGTGGAGGGATCTGCTGGAGCAGGATGAAGCCTTAACACCGACATGGAGAGAGGAGCATGTGGACTATGAGACATCAAATCTCTGGGTTTGGTTTTGGGGCTTTTAATTTAAAGGAATTAATGTTTTTGTACAGCCTGCTCCTTTCAAAGACACCATTAGTCTGAAAAGGAGGTAGAGCGATAAACTCTGCCTCACTTACACAAACCAAGCACGGGGAGTTCCATTTGACATAATTTAATATTTGGTTTTGTCCCAGAGAGCTCTTGTGTGTATGATTGTTGTGATCTTTCCTAGCATCTGACTGTCAGTGCTGATGTTACAGGCATGGCAAAACAACGTCAGGAGATTTGGTTTTGCATCAACTGCAGTTTTGGTGCAACAGGGCACAGAGTGTTTCCAGGTTCTCAGAAACCTCCATCTGCAGCGTGACAGGCTGATAGAGATTGAGAGAGGTCTCTCTCTCTACTATCCCCTTTACCATTTACTCCTCCCTTCCCCTTCTCTGTTCCAGTCACATCCATCCATCAGCACTGGCTCTGGAACTTGTCAGGCTCTTCCTAAGCTGCTTTAACTCAATAACATGGTCATATTAGTGAGGTTAAATGGCTTCTGGAGGGGCCTGATGTGCATCAGCTCTGGCACAGGATTAGAGACAGGAGCAGCAGCTCTCTGCAGCGAGCTGCTAAGTTAGCTTACCATCTCCTCTGGAACCATACCACCCCAAGTATTGCGGCATGAGATAATGTATAGGTAAGATTTTTCAGTTAAGTTAGAGACTTTTGAGAATAA